TCCAGCACCAAGGCGACCATTCTTTAAAGCATTGAGAACCCCCAACACTAAACTGTTTGGGGAAAAATGCTGGAAGTATTGAACTAAGACTAAGAGTGGCCCATGCAATAGTCATCGCAAATCATTCTATCACTACTCAAAAGTCGTTGGTAAAGACAGCAGGGCTGGCCGGTGCAGCTGCGAAGGAGCTTGCGCTACAAAGTGAGCCACCTCTACAAACCCTTCATATAGCCAGGTTCTTTGATCTGATGGAGGGACACTGTCATGGGGGCGATTCAATTGAAAAAGGTCCAGCAGTCTAGCAATTCATATCAACTCCAAGATCAAGGGTATAATACAATTTCCAGTGAGCTGCTTGCTTATTTGGTGAAGTAAACACCCCAAGGCCTCTCTGCAAGCAGTACCATCCGGGTGATTCAAAAGAAAAACGAAGAACACAATAAGACTCCAAGATTCTCCGTCCAAGCAATTTAAGTTACACAGCATCACTCCAAAGGAACGCCTGTTTTCCGGTTTCCACCTGTTTCCACCAGGCTTCCGGTGGGGAACAAACAGGCACGGCCGCCGCACCAAAACCGGTGGCTCGGTAAAGCCTCGGTAAAGCTGCCAGCGTCGATGATGCGGTCGAAGAGCTCCCCGCCGGAGCACAGCTCCATGACCAGGTAGATGTTCCTGACCACGACGTATTGGACACCGTGCCACTATCTATTCGGGGACCACGACAATCCACTACATGTTGGATGGATCATGATGGATCTGGATATATCTAGATGATCGATGGTTTGCATATGTTTGGCGGGTTTGCTGGGATCTTTCAGGCTTTGTGCAAAGAACCTGTCTGGTTTTGTTTTAGTTATAGTTGCGTGGGTGACGCGGTGATGCTCAGCGTCACTTGGGTCCATGCGGATTTGGACTTCTCTGAGCCAAACCCATGATCACCCTGCTAGGGCTGCCAAACTCGCTTGGTGGAGAAGGCACCGATGGATGCTGTGCGGGATTCCTTCTCGGGCCATTCCGAACAACGGCTTGTGAAAGTGAAATGCTTGGTAGATAGTCATTCTACGGGTCGCAAAAAACATCCAAGATCTCGTCCCCCCCGTTGAGACAGCTGCCGTGCCAGCTAGCGAATGTTCCATCTTTGCAAGTCCGCTAAATAGCAAGAGAGCTGAGGGACACACCTTGGTGGAGACCCGAACGAATGATCGAAGACTGGCTGTCTTGAAAGAAGCCAGGGCTCGATATGAGGCTTACGCTATGTATCCGCAGACTTATCCGTAGCTGTTCTGCACTGCAGGAGGTCATGCATGTAGAATTTGATCTGAATCTATTCTTCCGTTCCAATCTGAATTATTTAGCGCTGACCATTTGATGACTTCAAGAGCTTGGCAAGCTTAAGTCGGCTGAACCCAGGGCGCCAAAGCTTCCCCGGCTTACCACCACCCCTCGCCTCAAGTCCTCAAAGCTTTCGTAGAGCTTGATGATATTAGGATGATCCTGACCCAGTCGCAGGAGTCTTAAAGTTGTGGAGAAAAAAACAACTATTCCTGCTCACACCTTAACGGAAGCTGCAAAAACGAGGCTCTGCCCACCAGCCATCAAAGGGTCTGCCACCATGAGAAAACACATTACCAAAACCTTTCCCTCTGTTGGAACTGCTCGCAGCTCTCCCTACACATGCCACGCACCATTCGCCAGGGTCGTAGGCGGTCCATCATCTTCATGATGGCGATCTCCTGCTTAAAGCGCTCGATGTTCTTCATCTTCCCCTGCAGACACCACATCGGCCCATCGGCACGGCGAGACTTAACGTTGATCCTTCGTTCGTGTCCGCGGTGCTATTTTTGGATAGAAGGTGGGTAGAAGGTGGGTAAAAGAGTAGAAGAGAATTACTAAAAGGATGGCAAATTTGCGGACCGAACGACTCGTGGGTCTTAGGAACTGGCCATGTCTATCATGTCTCATGGCAGCGATGATACTTTGATCCAAGTCCACCCGGATCCGCCCGCCGTTTGCTGCGTCGTTCGGTTTCCAGCGCCTTGGCGATGGTTTTCACGGCTCGGATGGCGTTGGTTGCCTTGTTCTTGCCCTTGCAAACGTAACCGTAAGACCTGGAAGCTAAGCGCTCACGCGGGTTCGGAGACGATGTTGCCTTGCACCCGGAAGATGAGATGGCTTGCTTGCCCTTTGTTACTAGTAACGCCCTTGCTCCTAGTAGCGATGCCCTTTGCTCCTAGTACTAGCTTCTTGCTCCTAGTAGTAAGGTCGGAACCCCTAGTAGCATCTAGTAGCGTCCTTGCTCCTAGTAACGGTGCCCTTTGTCACTAGTAGCGAAAAAGGATTGCTAAGAACTGCATCGCACACATCAGCGATGTTGAGCCCAAGCTGATCGAAGGTGGGTGCGTCCTTTCGAGGATCTCTCTTGAAGGAACGACGGGTTCCATCTGAGCTGGCCGCCCTTCTCCAAGCTTCTTCTTGTCCAGGTCGTAGAAGTCCAAAAGTTTTCCTCGAAGTGACGGTGCGATTGTCGGCTTCTGGGGGCCTAACCTTTAACAGCATAGGCCTTTCCCTCTTCAAGCACTGGCAAAAAGAGCAAATGTGGCTAGAAAAGAGTATAGATCGACACCCCCAGGGCACAGGCCAAAATTGGCCAAAAGCTGAAACAGCGAGAAATGTTACAGTACTTTGAGAGCAGAAGAAAAAACAATTAAAATACAATCAATACAATTCATGAAGAAGAACCGTTCCCAAAGAATATTTTGGTTACCTGAAACGTGCGGAAACGAACTACACTCAGCTTGCAAAAACCTGGGAACGACACCAGGATTGTCGATGATAAACTGTGCTCTGCCCATGGCTGTCGAGGCTGTCTCTTTCCCCTGGCGCGAGGGAAAGTCAGACTCCCGAAACGGAGACCGGCATGCATTCGCACAAGTGGTTTGACATGGCTTGAAATATCATGGCAAATCGTAGAGAAAGTGGCTAGCAGCCATTTATCGCTTGGACATTATACTAGGCCGCCACGTGTGAAAGTACTACAACATTTTAACAAATATCTTAAACATGACCCAGCTATGTAACAGCTGCTCACAAACAAATGTGGCTAGATTGCTGGGCTGTTCAATACACAAAGGAAGCTTGGAGTCCCCCCTCATCTCCAGTCTCAGGCCCAAGGGCATGAAACCACACGGCCTTGTCATTGGATTTCTCCGGTGCCTGCGCGCGATTGGTCCAGGCACAGCGGGTTCCCATGGAACTCTCAGTGGGACGTCGAAACACGATCGACGAAGGCGACGCACCTCAGCCGGCTTTGTACTCGTACAGCCCATGGCAGCCTTGCGAAAGGCAACAAATCCTCCCAACTGCGAAGGCCATGAATTCATGAATGGTGAACATGAGGGCCATTTGGAATGGAAGGCAACATGTTGCAAACCAAATTTGATTTGCAGCTATTCTCTCGAGCCAGGGACAACAGTCAGAAACATCGTAGGCCGGCAACTTGTTCTTGATGCACACTTTGTTACAGTCAGTGTACCTTTTGTAGATGGCTGGGGAAACATGAACTTTAGGTTCGTCGCCAACCAAAACTACCTTGACTACCCCAAAAATGCTAGCTACCATTAAAAGGCCGCTTTGTGGCTTCATGATGGGCTTCAGTGAAGCCTTCCCCTCGTGGCATTGGACAAGTAGTTAGCCAATATGTGTCGATACGTGCGCACACGACGAAGTCTTCCACATGTCCCAAATCCCGCCCGCCTGTGCCCTATTGGGCTATATAGAGCAAAGGTATGCCAAGGACTACTCTGGATCCAACGGCGACACAAAGAGCAAGTCTGGTTGCTGGTGATTGACCTGCTCCAACGAGTCAACCAGTGAAGAGCACTATGTAATGCAAGGTTCTTGTCCGATCAACAAATTCCTCTAATGGGCTCGTTGTCGTAAACGTCTCTTGCCATTCTTTTGGTTTCCGGAGCAAATCGTGTGGGTGGTCTAACGCTTGAATGTAAAACGTGAACTCTGTAGTTGCAAAGCAATCTGGCTCTCCTCTGCAACGGGAAAGACATGGAACAATGATATACAGTGTTATGTCCCGTTTGTTTGAAATCGAGGACAATGCCTCTCACATGCCTCTCCTCTTGGGCCAGAAGGAATTGAGTGCTTGCCTTTCTTTTGGACACGACCATGTTCCACAATGCGTCCGGTGCATTGCTTATTGCACCACCACACCCTCACTAGGCAGAGACCTGTTGGCGACCTCGACATAGCAGCATGCGGCGAGTCCCGGGCATGGGAGCTGATCTACCACACATCACTCGTCTGGCTGATGGCGAGCGAATGCCCGAGGGTCTGGCCTTTTCAATCATCCCACAAAAAATATAGAGGGGAGGAGGCTGCAACATGTAACTGACATCTTTCCAGGATTCAGTATCTAAAAACCACTGGCCTCCGATAGTCTAGCACTTTTTTGATGTTCTTCCATTTTCATTTGGGCTTTTCTTCTTTTTCGTTTCTTTCTTCCTTATCTTTTCGCTCTCCCTTTCTTCTTCTTCTTCTTCTTCTTTCCAGTATGTATCTTAAACATTCTTAAACTATCTATAGTTTCCATATATGTGCCCCTTAGGTTTCCAGGTACATACCACTGTTTTAAAGGCCTCTGCCAGTCTAGCTTATATTTTTGGTCAAGTTGTGTTTTCCTTTCTTGATCTTGATCCTTTCCTTTCATTTGTCCTTTAGACATATCTTCCTTTTCTTTCTTTGCTTTTCTATCTTTTGTTCCTTTTACTTCCTTCCTCCTTCCTTCCTTCCTTCCTTCCTCCCTCCCTCCTTCCTTCCTTCCTTCCTTTCGTTCTTCCCAGTTGCCAATAGACCGTAGGGGCCATGTATTGGGAAGCTTCATTGTTTTCCAGTATGTAACGGTATGTATCTTTAGCTATCGAGTTGTTTCCTTCAGATTTATAGGTACATACCACGGTAGCTTTAGAGGCCTCCAAAAATCTGATTTACACTTTGAGAGGTTCCTCTTTCTTAATGCCTTTCTTTGTTTCTTCTGTAGGAAAAGACCGTTCGTTCTTTCTTTCTTCCGTTCTTCTTTTGTTTCCTTTTAAACTTTATTTTGTTGTTTTCTGTCTTCTTTATATATTCTTTTTCGTTTTGTTTCTTTTGCCATATAGTTACAGGGTCGCGCATGGACGTTTATGGACTCGACTGTTTTCTCCACTATGTATATTGAGCTTATCTAGTTTCCATATGTTTCCGTTAGATTTCTAAACACACACCACAGTTTGGAGGCCTCCAAACTTGTAGCCTACATGCAGCATAGAGCCAATCGCTTTTGGCAGTTACAAAGTGTAAATCGCACACTCGTCTTTAGTGTCAAGATCAAGAAGTTATAATTGACACCCCCAAAAAGAAACATGGTCTTGGGCTTCGGGGGTGCAACATGTAACTTCCAACATGGGAGGTCTGATGTTATACCTGTTGAGACCCCGTCCATCCCCAAATACAAACCCATGTAGATCTACGTCGGTTCCTGGATGATGTTATGTAGCGCCTTTGTGGATGTTGACGCTGGCAGCTGAGTGAACCAGCCACCACAAGTATAACTTCTAAACAGCCACCAGTTACGAGGTGCATGACATCACAGCTCAACGTGAGGTGCCTTTCCACTCAAATTCACCATGTCAAGCTCCTTGCCTAGGCGCCAGCAACAGGCCTCCCAGCTGCAAGAGCCGAGAGGTTCGACCATTGAGGAAATGCACCACAATGCAACAATGATCGCAACAAGAAACGGTGGGATGATATGGGACTCAAAGGACATCCGCAAGTTCGTTGGACTAGGAGCAAGAAGCTACTAGGGGCTCCTGGCATCGCTACTAGGAGCAAGGACGCTATTAGGGGCTCCTGGCCTTATAGAACGAATCACACACTGTGCACGAGTCCTTCGCTCTCCGCCTTTTTTGCATGTCGTGCTTCTGTGGCGAGCGGCGGTCGCCACATTGGACATGGCTTTAAAATGAGACACGTCACCCATATAGTCTCCAGCCGCACCAGTACCCCGGTCAATTGGTTTGACCCAAAGAACTCTTTGATTTAAAATGATTTACATAACAAGACCGACCGATTCACAACACAACGCGTGCGGGGCCAAACGTCTTCATCAGCTTCACATGTCTGCATTCCACCGCTGGCTGACGATACTGGTTGCCTTGAAATAACTGAAATGACACACCCGACGTCCCCAAGAACGCCTAGAGCTCGGTTCGGGCACGGGTCTGCCAAGGCCACACGGTCAACAACTTCAATCGGTTACGCCTTTGACTTCAAGGTTACTTCTCTTTTCATGTGTTCGCATCTTTGTTGTTTGCCTAATGACCTGCACACCTTTCCACACCGCAAAAAACAAAAACCACCCAAAAGTAAGCGCTTCCTGAAGATAGAAACAAATTCTTCCTCCTTTGCAGGGATATGCAAAAGTCTGTCATAGACAGAAAGCTTGTTGCCCACAGGGGTCTAAAGTAAAACAGGAGGACAAACTGAGGAAGCTTCGCAACATGGCATTATCTTATCTAAAGGGAGAAGCATGAACGTCGAACAAGCTGCAAACAAACGGCCACAAACAAAACCTGAACTGAACTAACATATATAAGCACTGCTCAGCAACCAGTGTCGTTGCATTTGCCTAAGCTCACCCTCTGAAAACAAAAAAGGATGCAAGCAATTGTGTATATATATACTGTATATGATGACATGAAAATATGTCTTTGCAGGAGGTTTGAACGTTGTAAACATTTGTGCAATCTGTTTTGCTGAGCAAATGGCAAGACCTTTCGCATGTATATAGAAGAGATACTCCGCCTGACACACTTTCTGCATCTAACTTTTCTGTGGGACGGATGTCCATGGTATCGAAAAAAAAAGAAAATTGCTGACTTGTATAGCTCAGGCCTGATGTGCTCCTTCCGAACCGACTTGGCGTGTCAAGCAGACAAGCTGCTGATGACTGCTGAGAAACATTGAACATGTCCAGGAACCATACAGTAGTGACCCCACATAAGGAGAAGCCCTTCCTCTCACTCCCCGGTTTCTTTGAAGTCTTGCTGCGTCTTGCTGCATCCATGTCATCAGACATCATACCGCCCTTGGAGACATCCATGAATGAAGGGTCATATTATGACCGGCGCATAGATGCCCTAGCCGGCAAATTAAATCAAACAGAGAACGATTTTTCACGCTCACGCACACTCAGACTCATTCAGAGATGTCTGCTTTCCAGCCGAAATCAGTGGTGGATTGGTCTCATTTGCAGTTGCAAAACACAGAATTTGGACCTTGAGCACGAAACAACAGAGTACAGGTTCCTGAGCTGGAAAGAACAATGAACAATCATTGTACATCATTGTAATTGTATATCATATTGTGGCTCCAAGCCAGCCACATCCAGACCTTCCCATAGAAACTCTGAAATCCCAGACCAAGCTGCTCCCTTTGGTTACACCAACGAGCATATCCACTCAGCATATTTTCAATAGCACACAATTACGGGACACAGATATTAGAACTATTCCAGCTGCAAACAACTCCAAATGATATGGACAGTGTCAGTCCCTGAAATGTTGCACCAAATTGAGTCTATTTCGGCGAGAAAGACATATTGTCGCCCCTCAATCGCCGTTCAATTCGGAGGTTTCCGAACAACTGAGCAAGTGCACAAACCTTCATGTGTCTTGTGATGTGTTGACACGATGTTGACAGCATCCAAAGCTGGGTGGTTGGATTGGACGTGCCCAGTTTTAGATAGTTTAGACAACTCTGACCCCAAGCGCTCAAAGACGCCTGCTTTCCAGCCAGTTTCCGTCGGATTGTCTCCAAGTCCGTCACCGATCTGTAAACCGGGCAAAGTGATGGATTGATGGATGACTTTCTGAGTTGAGATGTGAACAAACTATTCGATACATGTTGGCCTGCAGGCAACTATGGACACGCTTCAGTCCTTGAAAGTTGCACCAAAATAAGGTGCTAGGTTCCTAACATGAGTTTCTGCATCTGAGCGTTACGCAAAACTTCGTGACGCCAAAAACTAATATCAGGAGACCTGAAGAAAGCAATCTCCGAATGCAAAAGACCGGGGGCCACGAGCCCCACCCTGTCAGGGATCCACTTCGCCTTACTTAGGCCAAGTCTCCCTGACTCAGCTTGCCAAAATCAGGTCGCTAATTAGGACTGCATGGCATCGAAATGTCGATCGATGTGTGATATCACTCTGTGAGAAGCTAGCACAAGCCACGTAGCACATAGGCAAGTCACCCAAGATCTGCGTGCAAACCCAGTGAAACCTCAGCACCGTCGAGTAATTACAAATGAGTCGGAAGCGAGTCTGACTTCGGGCTTCAGCCCCCCCCATACCGAAGCCAGCTACGAGTTGGAGGATGATGAAACATCCATCCTGCAGTCGTCAAGCTGGGGAGAAATCGACAAGATTTTTCGCCGCCGACAGGTACGGGGATCGCCAACAAGTCAAAACAATGACCATAGTAGTAACAAGAAGCTACTAGGAACAAGTGCATCGCTTCTAGTAACAAGTGCCTTACTAGTAGTAACAATAAGCTAATTATGAGTAACCATGATCATATTGTGCTTCATTTCACTTCCAAAACCTCCGGCTTCCTGTGACAGCGAAGCTGTCTCATCTTGAAAGTCTGATGATGCACTCCCTGCCTCTAGGGTAAATAAGGTTGAACATGGGCTCAGCTTCGAAAAGGAAACCACAAATGCAGATGAGACACAGCAAGGAGGGAACACTGGATGACCGAATTCTTGAAAAAACGCTGCGTGGCACGAAAAACACATTCAGCACTTCAATGTCTTCTCTCCGAGTTCCTGCAACCATTGGTCTTCACAGTTTGGCGCTTGGACCAAGGGATCCTTTGCAAGCCTTGCGAAGAAACGCTCCCAACCGCGTGGCGGTGGAAAGCGTGTCAGGTTGGAGGTACCCGACCATACTGGAGATGTAGGAGAGACACCAAGCTTCTGAAAAACCTCACGGACTTTCTCCTGCGAAGCTCGACCACCGTACTCGTAAGCAGTTCGGCCCCAGGAGTCCTTGGTTCTTGCATCTGCACCGAAGATGAGAAGTGCCCACGTGATGTATGGATTGTTCTGTTTCACTGCCTCATGCAGTGGATAGGTCACAAAGAGCTTTCCCTTATGGCCATTGGGATCCGCCGAGAAGTGGTTCTTCATCAAGAATTGCTTCACATTCCCCACGGCTTTTGCCATCTCCCTCCGATGCTTCACAATGGCCCGGTCTGCACGGTCACTGTGGCAGCCATGTTTGTGTCCTTCTGGTCTTTCATCAGAGATGTCCGCATCCACATGCTCGACCATCGAAAGCATTGCTGCTTGAATTGGTCTGGAAGTTCCACTTCCGCACTTGTGACACCAGGAGCTTGAAACGGCTGCATCCGATCAAACATCTGAGTCTTCCTTGCAGGAACAATAGATTTAATAGATTGGAGGGCATTGCCATTAGGTCAGAGGCCACTGGTGTATGACTTTTTCCAAGACCTCAGTGGCTCGACGCCTTGGTCGCCATTTTCAGGTTGACCACAATGGCTTAGGTGTTTGTCCAAACACCCGCGGTTTGACCCGGCTGTTTCAGTCGATCCCGCCTCGCTGTTCTCAGCAATGCCTCGTATACGGCCTCACACAGCGTCCGGATGGGTAGCCGGTGTTCGCGGATTTCTTTTGCTTTCAAACAGGGCAAACACTGAGTCGGATTTCTGGAGTAGTGTATATATATACACATAATTATGTCCCAACAGTTTGCCAGTGGTTGCGTCACCAACTGGACCAACTAGGAACACCAACAGTGTTGAAGTGATGCACATGCGAAAACTAGAACACCGACCATTGGCAGCTGGGGCTCCCTTTTCTTTCAAACCCAAATCTCAAGTCTCCCTGACAGTTCACTTGAAGAGACAATTCAGGGGTCCACATGGCTCAACCATTGGTCTTCTCAGGACACTTGGGTCGCTCTGTTGCAGGGCCGTCGACCCCGTGTCTGGCAGTGACCAATCAAAGGGTTAGACTGGCAAACAACTGGGCTTGAGAAGCTAGGACACAGCCTGCAGTATAGAGCCTTTTTCGAAGCTTCTTTAAGAACTCCCCATCCCATCTCATCCACCTCTTGAAACCCAGCTGCGGACCTTGAAAACACATGAGCAGCTCTGCCAACTTGCACAACTCGACGGTTGTATTGTTAGACTCACATACTAGTATTACATAGTATTACAGATACTGATGCACAGTAAACTGTGTTGTTTTCAGCTCTGAAGTTCTCAATATGTCTGTTCGAGATTGTCGGGCAAACTCATCGATGTCCAACATGATGTGAGCAAAAGAGAACTTGCCGGAAGAAAACACGAGCACATGTCACACGTCTTCGCATTGCCAAGTCCATGAGGCTCACTCGTTCCAATCTCTCTCCGAGTCCAGAACTGCTGAAAAGACAGACATCTGCGCTTCCCAAAAGAACCAGTTAAACAGCAGCTGGTTTCGTACAATGGTAGCGGTCAATTTACATCTGTGAACACACCGATGATAGCAGTGTTAGTCGCGGATCAGGAAACTAACTCATAGGTCACGGGCAAAGTAGTTCTCTTTTAAATTTACAAGAATCTCTGCATTTCCACGCTTTCCACGCCTCCCACGAACCCAGAAAAGCATCAAAACTAAACGCATGCCATTTTAGACATGCTGCTCACACTTGTTCTGGAACGGAAGTGGAACACTTCAGGCACTGGACATTTCAACCAAGGGAGAGATCCTCAACCTGATCTTGTTCAACCTGATGAGGGGGTCATGCACCGGTGGCGAAGGTGTTATTATATACAACAACTATCAGGTGAGGCTTCATTTCATTCTGACACTTTGCACGAAAACACTGTTGGTGCACCAAATCTTCTATCATTGCATCCTTATAATCTTTAACACCTACAGTACTTCCTTTTCCAGTAGTCCAGGTATTACATGGTATTACGTTGACCCTAGCCAGCACAGGTTGGCTTCAATTACATCCTTTTCGCCACTTCTCGAGCTGTCCGAAGTGTCAAAATTGCTGTCGGGCAGCCTGGCTGCGCTCAGCATCGATGGAGCCAGCACAATTCACATGAATCTTGTTTTTTTGCAGTAACATTTCTGTATAATTTGCGGTGATAGGTATACTACTATATATATATATATTTTAAACAACTTGTATATAGTTATATATTCATGTAAACAAAAATAATCAAAAATACATAAATACACATAAATAAACTATACCGTGCCACAAGAAGGCCCCCACGTGTCCATGTGCACTAGACATCTTCTCGTTCGACGCCTGGTGCGTCACAGGCGGCTCCCCGCCGCGGCGGCGGTCCAGGTCGCGGCCTTCGCCGCCCTGGAGGTCTTCCTCGGACATCGACGAGTGGCGACAGGCTTCCTACGAGCGATGGCCTCCAACCTAATAGCCTAATGGGAAAGGGATTGGATGCAGAACCTCTGAGATTCGACTTCTAGCTGCTTGGCAGCTAGAAATTGGCAGGTGTCCTTTCAAGCTCCAAACGCATTGGGTGCAACATTTTGTAGAAGGAACCATACCATATGCACAGTACTCCAGTTTATACCCACACACGTACTGACAAAAAAGGTGAAGAGCCACTCACTACATGTTTCTATTTTTTTCTGCTCTCTCTCTCTCTCTTTCGATATGCCCAAACCAGGAACCCGGTTCATAAAGGAACTCCCGGATCACTGTGAAGGGTGATGTGGTGCACACGTACTGTCCACGTGAACGGGGGGCTTTCGGCACCTCACCGAGCAATGCGAGGCGACGCTCACGGTGGGATCAGCATGAATTCGGGGCGACACTCAGGCTTGGGAAGGAAGTGGGAAGGGGCCGGCAGTATGTATTGTGCAAGACACCATGACATATACATACCAGAACAATAGGTTACATCACATCACATTCCGTTACGTTACCACTCGGCAGTCAGCTCTGCAGTCGCAGGTACTCCTGGAAGACGGGTCCTGGCCCTTCTGTGTTGGTGCCCGGACAAGAAGTGCCTGATCAACGACCAGAGCCAGAACAGCCTCACCAGCATGCTGCAGCTCCTGACCGAGGTCTTGAGGGCGCAGGCCTGGGATCCCAACCTGTTCTGGAAGTTCCAGCTAGGCGCTCAAACCACCGGAGACACCGAATGGTCACCACTCCTTGGAAGGCGAGCCTCCGGGGCGACCACATGCCTCCAACTCCATTTGGACACTCCTGAGACGCACAACAACCATGCGAGCGGACTGCGGACACATCAGCCGTGCCGCTCAACCATCACAACCACCTTGCAGACTTTGGGAAGGGCCGCTCCCAAGGTGTCAAGGGATGACCGATGCCACCGATGCAGGAGAGAGCTCATCTCTTCTCTGGAATGGGCTGACTTCATGCAAGCTATATATCAGGCCATTCCACAATGACAACCACTGGTGCCACGCCAACTCTGTAGCTTATTCTTTCTTTTGGTGCATTTCCACCCAGCCGTCTTTGTTGGAGAGTGCCGTGGGGCAGCATGAAAGTCTTCTGCATGATGTCTTTGCCGAATGCTTGGAGGGCCTTGCTCGCTCCATGACTCTAGTCCTTTGGAGTCTCTTTTCGAAAGTTGGACACCTCAAAGGGACAACAGTGTGCCTCTTAGTTTCTGTTCTACCTGTTGGATTGGCTTCGCGTGCCTGACATTCACAACAGCTGGGTCCGGAGACTTTCCATGGTGGATGGGATACATGCATAGGATCATGGAGGGGCACATGCGGGGCACATGCTCCATTAGTCTTTGATAGATCAAAAGTGCTTTCTTTGCAGCAACTTGTCAATAGCTAGAGTTATGCTCTTGGAACTCAATCTCCATTGCCTTTAAGGTTATGCAGTGCTAAAACGAGACATCTAGCGTGCGGAAAGGTCGATAAAAGGTCATCACATCACATCACTTTACATTAACATTACATTACATTCCAGTGCATTAAATTAGTACAATACATTGCATTACATTACATGAGTACAACACATTACACCATATACATTAATTACATTCCATCAGCACATATAAATGCATTATTAATTACGTTACGTTACGCTACGTTACCTTACCTTACCTTATCCTACCGTACCTTACATTACATACACAAGATACTTACGTAGTTGAACCACCAAAACCGGCGGCCATGCTGGAAGTTGTACAAAGACCGCATGTGGGGAACATCATCTGTATTTGAGCGTGTCTGAAACCAGTGAACCTCCACCAAAGAGACTAGGAGAACACATCCAAGACTGTCCATCAAACTTGGATCTCAAACAGCTGTAGTGCCCTAACACCAAGCATCAAGCGATCTACGAACTTTGCGTTGGAGCAAATGCCCTCCACTGTTTGCGCCAAAGCCTTCTGAACGTTCTGGTAGACCTGACATGAGATTGCCATGCTGAAAACTACAGACTCCGATTCCGATTCAAAAGCTGTAGCTCGTCCCACACGTGTGCTATCGTCTGCTCACCCAAGCCATCCAGTGGCAGGACTTGTCCTGCTCCGGTTTCTGTTTAAAATCAGGGCGGATCTCCCAGCCATCACCCCAGGGACGTCGCCACTCCAGGCCTTCTTGGCCTTCCAAAACTCGGAGACCTCTTGGGCCTTGGCCTCCGTGACGAAGCCGATCCCCGAGACGCGGACCATGTTCCTCGGTGAAGGGAAGGGTGCGGAGCGACCACAAAGACCCCCGGCCAGAGAAGTTCCTTTAATGTACAGTTTACAATACGATGTATATGGTTATTCTGTCTTCTATACTGTTTCTAGCGTCAAGATCCCCTAACATCTCTGGGTATAGCGGAGATCTTTCTTGGTGATCCAATTGGACCGTCTGCCCACCAAAGGGTGAGGCGAAGATTTTGCTTCAGATTGATGTCAAGGCATCCTGCCAGCAGACAGGCGAACTCGCGTGGAACATCGGAAAAGCACAATAGGAACATGATGTGTCTTGGGCTGCGTGTTCTGACCCGTTTGGAAATCCGCTGGCAAGCTTTGGTTTGCTAGTTATCGGAGGATCCATCGATCCTGAGGTCATTGGTCGGCAGATTCGGTTGGGAACCCGTGCAAAACCAAACCGAAGCAAAGAATCATAAGGAACCTTTCCGTAGATCGAAGGTCCCCATGGCCCCACCTACTTCAATCACATCCATGAGTGGCTTCAGCATGATTAGCTGAGCAGGAAAGATGATCCAAAGATTAGCTGAGCTTCTGGAACAACATCATGCTAGTAGCGCCGATCCTGAGTGCAAAGGACGGCACGGAAAAGGCACGTTGGGTCCAACGCGTCAAGAAACGGGTCCTGGATGGTCCCCATTCAGGCCTGCTAAGAAGTAGCATGAAGTACGTAACATGAAGTAAGCATGGGTCCTGTGTGATCCTGTGTAGGGGGTAGAAAACATACATTAAAACCATCCTTGATTTCCTCAGGAGCAGCCCAGTTTGGACTGTTTTGTCCCTTGTGGATCTGGCCGACTTCATCCATCCGCGGCCAGCGAAACCGGCCAACAAAACATAGATCAAAATGGATCAAGCAGCCGATGAAGCGATGCATCTCAAAGCAGGAGAGCGAATGAGAGCATCGCAGTATCATCAACCCAAGAAACATCAAGAAACCAATGGAACTGCAAGGAAATACGGATCCATCCAAAAAAACGCTCTATATAAGATCTCTAAGCAACCATGCTCAATCCAACTTCTGCTTTGACTTCACCGGAGCAACGCTTTGGAACCTGCAGGACCTGTCCTCCCATCCGAATGAAGCAGAGGTGAATTGAGCGACATCCGAGCCACATCTCATAGATGCGGTCGTATTGATCTTGCATCCATGAGAAGGTGGCTTCCGCACCATCTCGACCAGATGCTGCCATGGCCATTGGGATGTAGATGAGGTCCTGCACGATTCACGGATGTGGAAACGGTCGCAGGATGCCGCCAACCGACGTGGCGGTCGCAAACGGCGACGTTCGGGGTCGACGTCTGATTCGGTAACCAAAACCCGCTGATTCGATAACCAAAACCGCTGATTCGGTAACCCAAACCAGGAAAACAAAACCAATAACATTTCCAAAAGAAGAAACTGATGACCCGGGTGGTAGTAGTAGTAGTAGTAGTAGTAGTAGTAGTAGTAAAACCCGCACGTTGCATCCGCATGAATCTGCGGTTTTGGTTTCTGAATCGGCTAATGTCCGACGTTGGTCCGCCCTGGCGGTTCCGGGGGCTTCGTTTGGACCGCCATGCAGGGCCGAACACGAACCGTGCGGCCGTGTTCGATGTACAGGTTGACGAGGGGAATCGGTATTGGTATTTGCGGCTGGTAAAGTGGCTCAACTCCTAAAACGAAAGAATGTCTGTGGGCAAAAAACATATATTTCAGATCTAAAGAGGTGAGCCAGTGCGAAAGTGGAAGGTCCATCTGACTGTTGTGCAAAATTACAATGGTGTCATTGAAGACATGCAAGTCTGAGGGCCAGGGATTGTCTTTTTGAGCCAGGGCCAAGGATTCCATCATCCGACAGCTGCACAGCTTTGTTTTCACGCCATATTCCTCCAAGTTCGTTGGTGGAGCAGCTGGTGCATCCCGCTAATCCATGGAAAACATGATTTGAAACGACAATATATTAAGCTGTGCTTATGTCCTTTCCCGTATTCTTCAGGGTCCACTACAGTACCCGATGGTTACCGCAAGTCCTTATCATCACCACCACCACACCAGTTGCAAGAATCTGCCTGTCTCCAAAACCCTTTATCATCTGGTAGCCCCAAATCGGTTCAGTTCCAACCTTCCGCGGAAAATGCCAAGCCAGGACCGACACCGTTTTTTAACCAAACAGAAACGGCGGACCGGGAAGGTCCGACGCCGCCTGGGAGCGCACGGCGCCCCCGAGGTTGAAGTCCAGGGCGCGCTTCCGCAGAGTGGAGGACTGCGCCTGAAACGGAGGTCACTCCGTTGGACAGCCGCATCCGGTGCTGTGCGGAAAGCCACATCCACATGGTTTCACGGGGCGGAGGTTCACTCTTCATGGCCGAACAGTTCCTTTTGGCCGTGTTTGTTTCTCTTTATATAGTGATTCTGAGCAGTAGACTTGTTTGGAGACACAGGGGGCAGGTGTAAATGGCAAATCATGGGAGTGTGGACATTGCACTGTTCTCGCTTCCTTGAAGGATGAAATAGTGAGTTTACGGAGTCTCCACCTCTCCCATCTGTCACTTGGTCAGTTACAGTCAGTATTCGTTTATATGCCTATTCCTCGAGGGTCTCCCAGTCATTGCCTTGAAACAACGCTGTGAAATCCTGCCCGTGTAGTAGGTGCAGGTCAACTCAATCCTCTCTCAGATTGGCGAATTAGATGTGTAGAACGACCAACACAGGACATAAACTTGAATGCCCACAAGATCCAAATAAAAGTGTCATTGCCCTTAGATTATATTGCGGAGAAACATTCTTCTGGATTGTTTTTCAAGCTTCGTTGGAACTTGTGTTCTTCCGAAGCAGCAATCAACAGCAAGTACTGCCAAACGGCGTAAATGTTAGACACGGTCTATATATTTATATATACTAGCACAGTCGATTTGAAGAATGTCTACAAACATTGGAAGACTCCGAGGTTCTGGTTGCGAAATCAAAAGACCTTGCCTTTCCAAGCGCTCCATAAATGTGGATCTTCACTGCGCCGTCCTTCACCGTCTCCTCAGATTGGCATCGCAGCCGCATAATTTTTGGGTATGGATGGGTATGGTCCGGTATGGTATTGTTTAGTGATCTCAAACCATGAAGCGAACATCCCTCGAAGCATCAAACATGCCAAGACCTGGACACAATGAGGGCCTGTGGCCCGCGACTGGAGTTGATGGACCCCTAGAAACCAGGCGTCGGGCGTCCAGGAAATTCCGTTGGTCCAGAAGCCCAGACTTGCAGGGGTGCTGCTTGATGACTGGAATGGTATAACAAAAAAACATTACACCAACAGGCTGACAGTGGATGCAAATGAGGGTGAATGAGGGTACATGCGGATACCCAGTCAATTGGCATGAGACCTACTTCCATTGGTATCCTAGATCACTCACAGTGCAGGATTTGTGAAAGACTTCCAATCAGGCCAGGAGTCGTGAGCCTTGATGAGCTCATCAAACATTTCCGCCCCCTCTGCGCTCTGCAGTGCCACATCAAAGACAGCTGAGCGGATATCTGCATTCCTGAATCTTCCACTCTCACCCCAAACAAACCAATCCAAATTCGCACCAAAGAGCAATGGCCTCCGAAGAGCCACCTGCCTCCCTGTTTCCTTCAATCCTTGCGGGTGAAATCTGTCTTGGTCGAGCGATAGTGGCCAGGGAGCTCTATGAGCGATCCGCGAAAGCGTCCGAAGATCTACAGTAGAGTATATCGGGCTCTAGTCTCATAACGCTTCCTCTGGCTGGACCCCACTCAAAAACAACTTGCTCGATTCTCAGCAATTGGGCGAGCTGGAGTGGTTGGCAAACTTGATATGTTCTGAGGCGCCTAACTTCTCAGCTGCATGGGGAAGAAAGAACATCACTTTCTGGTGCAACCACAGCATCAGCGCGGCAGGGTCATTGGGATCAGCGACGAAAGCTTTACATCCTCGGCCCAAAGATGTCGATGCAATGCTCTTTCAAACGCACCATAGGGAGCATCCCTCAAGAGTCATTCCCTCTGCAACGTATCAACAAACAATTCAACGGTGTATGGTGCTTATAAGCCCTGCTTGGAATTGAGGCAATGAAACGTTGAACGTGCTAGTATGAGATAACTTGCACAAGGGGACGTGAACAGGGCAAAATATGATGCGTTGCCCTACCAAATCCCAGCAAAATGAACATGATACATCTCTCCAGCTATAAAGACAAACCTGGCAAGCTGCAAATGTCCGTTCATGAAGAGGAAATTATATTGTAGATCCAACAGGGACAAGCCCAACCCCGAAGTGCAATGAAACACGTGTATCCCATACCTACAGGTTGCGTAACCACTGGCATGTTTATCCACTTGAGTTTGTATCTCCATGTCCTTGTCATTGTGGGCCTTTCCCCGGTTTACAAATTCTGGTGCCCGAAAGAACGAGGTTGGCACAGCACGAAAACAATCGACAAGCGTCACGGTCACGTCATCCAAGGGGCTCTTCACAGCCTCCGCGGCAATGGCGCTATCCTGTCCACACATGCCAGGATGGTTGAGGAGAGGCGACATGGTTCACTGCTCTTGGTTGCTTCTGGCCACCGTTCAGAAAGCAAGCACAACCCATAAAAAAAGCAAAACACTTGTTGCTCAGTCATGCGAGCTACCCACAACACATTTATGCTTATATCTATAATATTCTATAATTACTATAATTATGGAATTGACATGCACATGCATGCATAATTCTTTCCATCACCAACATCGCCTTATCACATCTTCTAAGTTCCAGTCAAGTATATTACCTGCAAGTTCCAGTCCCAAAAGGAAGCGCCGAAATGCACGTTTTCCAATTGTGGGACTCAGGAAAAATCCCTGTCCTTGTAGCAATACTTGGCCACGGCTGAGAGCACCGTACTACGGAGTTTCTTTTGATTGTCATCGTCGGAGCTTTGTTGGTCCCAACCGACGTGCTTAAAGGCCGGGAGCACCAGCTTGCTGCAGAACTCCTGAAAAACGGCCCGAGAGAGGTTGGAGACAGGCGAAACGAACTCCGGCGTGAAAACAGTTGGATTTCATCCATATACTTTTAAATCTTTTTATACCAGTTCTAGGCCCTGTCACCTCTGTACGTCTTGGCGAACAGGAGACACGTGTACTAGTTTGTCTCAAGGAACATTCCAGTCAGCTGTCTGTGGATGGACTACAGTATTGAACTCTTTTCAGTTGTGCCTAACTGAGCTGACTTGGAGTAGGCCTTTGTTCACAGACACACACACACACACACCATGTAGTGCAAGAAGCAGAACGGGAAGACATTGGATATCATTGGATATAAGGGCCTGGTATTGACCACTGATTTGTCGGTTACGTGTCTTGGCATGTTGGCCAAAGATGGCACCCAACATGTGTTCGACAACACAGCAGGTTATGTTCCTGTATCTCTGTTTGTGTACCTCTAGGTCTGCGTACCAGCGGACATGCTTGCTGGCCAAGATACGACGCCCTTGGGGCCTACTCTGGGTTCAAGTGTGGTGGGTGCGGTACATCCATACAACCCGCTGCACTAGGAGCAAAGGGCATCGCTACTAGGAGCAAGAACGCTACTAGGGGCTCCTGGCCGTACTACTAGGAGCAAGGACGCTACTAGGACCTAGGAGCTTTTTGGCACCCGCTGCACTTGCGCTGCAAGCACTTTTGGTTGACGCGAGCATTATCATGTTCGGTCTGCGCTTCGTGCAAAACAGCCTAGCGGACAAGGCCAAGCTGCACCTTGGCAGCGAATTGAATCCAAAAGCTCAAAAATATCCAGGGCAGCACATGGTTGTGTCTCCAGCTGTCTTCGGATAGTTTGACCTTCCACCAAAATCTATGACACAAAAATGAGAAGGGCTTTTCAAGGAGCCGTTCTTCATCGTTTTTCATTTTTCTCTTGCGACAAATGGATGATCGTTGATGTCAGGATTGCTGTGAGACAAACTGAGACGTCTAGCCACCCATGTTCGCCTGCCCCAGCATGCCTTACCGCATGTTCCGATCCCGCTGCTGAGACCGTCTCCGTCCATCACGTCGCTTCGGAGAGGGGACGGAGAGACCAGACCGAGGCGACGGAAGCCACGCGCGTCTCAACGGCTCACGGATTCCGTGAGGCTGGTCATCGGCGCATGAGCTTGAGAAGGAGTATTGGGATCATGATCTCCTTGGAAAGACTGAAAGACAGGGAGATAGCGTGGGCTTACTTGGATCCTTGACCTTGTGACCCTATTGGTCTAGTTGTACAGGCCTATGGATGTGCAAGTAACGTTCGCTTGAAAAGTTGAAGGACACAATAACCCCACATATGAAGTTTGTATATACTGTAACTAAGTGGAGGCAAAATAGCGGAAGGAAAGGGAACTTTTTGGCGGATGAATGATCCTGATGATGAGCTGAGATGAAGAACTATGGTGAACACATGTTCCATGTTCTCATGAGCGAGGGAGGGAGCGAGTGAGTTGGTGTGAGGAGACGAGAAGGCGGCCGAGGAGGCGGAGAGGACGCACCACACTAAAATGAGGGTAAACAAGACCCTCCACCAGGCAACAAAACAGTGTCTGATCGAGCACTTCACTTCAAGAACAGAAACAGTAATTATCATCCCTTGCTCCTTAGTCTTGTCTGGGTCATGTTTGCTTTGCTTGGATATCAAGTGGATTTGTTTACTCCAACTGGCCGGTCTTCCTTTTTCACCCATAGCCCATAGCTTCATTCACACACGACACGCTTCGCATTGGAGCATATGTCGCTGCCTTCCGAGTGTCCGAAGCCACCGCCCTCTGCAAAGGCTTGATCCGTCTTCGCTTCTCCAGGCATCAGGCACTGGAAGAGGCTTTCGGCCTTACAGCAGGTCGCGAAGGCCTTCCGGTGCGGAAAGGCGCCATTCGTGAGCACGCTGCATTTCTTGAAGCAGGTGCCTAAGTAGAGCTCTTCGTCCTAGAAAATGGCAAAGGACCAAACGACCCGGGAAAACTCGTTGGGGAACACTTGCGGAGCGAACTGGGGGAAGGTAGCGAACCTAGTAGCTTTATATGTAGCTTTTTGCTACTAGTAGCGATGCACGGTTTCCTAGTAGAGATGGCCACGTTGGAAGATGAACTTCTACTTCTCGGTCTTGTTGAACAGTACGACAGTCCTTGAGGCAAATGCCAGGAGCATGAGGACATCGCTTCTTTCCTTCACGCGTCCCGGCAATGTCATAGCCATGACAAGGCATCAGCGATGGCGAGCTCAAAATCGAAGCAATGGCCTTATCTTGAGTAAAGCATACACCCTGACTAGCAAAATCAGGAATAGCATGGAAATAGCATCTAAGAGCAGTGTCAATGCTGAATTCTGAATTCTTTTGCGGTACCAAGACATGTTCAAGTTGTTGCATCGAAGTGGGAATTTGGGGGGACGGGGGGGACTGCCCGCTGCCTCAAGCAAGTTGTTGCCTTCCTTGCTTGCATGTTGAAAATAGATTTTAAAAAAATACAGGGTGTCCCCGCATGGACAAAACTAGAGAGACATATTTGCAGCATTGTGCGGGGCAGTCCTCACTCAATAGACTCCAGTTTTGGACAAATCTTTTCTGGGTACATCTAAATTTGAATTGTAAAATAGGATAGAATAGGTAGATGTGCACACAGCAAACTCTAGAAACATGTAACATAGTCAGCCTTATCAAAAGATATCTTCCTTCAACAAACTCAGTGATTTCATCATCCAAGTGACGTTTTGGCTAAGCTGACACTTGTGCTCCCCATTGCTGTCCACGGGTTCGCAAATGTGAGCTGCACACCTGACGGGCTTCATGCCGGCAGAGAGGATGGAACATTTGGCATAGCAAAGGCTCTCGAACAACTCCTCATCCTTGGCTGGCGCGGAATGGTAGGACCTGGATGGACCTGGATAGCTTAGGAACGGACTGCATGGAGAGTGAACGTGGGTATCATCCCAACGATGTTCTGTTGGCGAGTTGTAGCTGTACCGAATGATGGTGTCATCAGTTCAGTCAGTGCTCATGGTGGGCTTTGGCATCCAAATTCCTTGTACCGCAGGTGCTTATGGTCACAAGCATTCACAAATCGCTACTAGGGTGGAGGCCATCGCTATGAGGTTGGAGGCCATCGAAACGACCGTAACAAGAAGCTACTAGGGAGAAGAAACTACTAGGGGCTCCTGGCATCGCTACTGGGAGCAAGGGCGCTACTAGCAGCTCCTGGCATTACTACTAGGAACAAGAAGCTAGTACACAATAAAGCATACCGCCTCGGTATATCTCGAGTCGATCGTCCGACTCGGTCAGCGACGATCGATGTACGGAGCCAGATGAGTTGAACTCGGTGAACCTGCGACCAACCGCTCGTAGCGAGCACTGGTCGGCGAAGCCAGAAAGGACACGATCTATGAAGTGGCTTAGTTGGTCATGTACAAAAGAGGATGACAAGCAAATTGGACCAAGGAGATGGTGACAGTGTCACGTAGAAATCAATGTCAAAAGACCGTTGATCAGCTATGCCGTGAAGAAATGGTGGAAAACACGTAGTTCGGAAACATGTTCAGCGGGGACTCCTGGCTGTCGCACAAGGCATCAGGCCTGGCCAAGTAGATAGAAATGGTCGTTTCAAGTATATATATATATATACATGTTTACAGGGGATATGCACTCTGCATCCCTCTCTATACGTTCAGTCGATTTTGGCGTAAAAGATTACCATTGGCAAGCCAAGCGTCATCTGCGCATGGATTGTTGTCATGCAAGTTTTCCTCGGCACAAATCAGCACCGAACCACTCACGCAGCCAACGAAAAAGTCTTACGATCTGGGCTCAAAGGCTTCTAAATCCCCATGCAGAAGAATACCATAATGTCAGTCGAAGCAGTTCAGTTCTTGCGAGTTGATCATCTGTGTTCAACGGTCAACCTATGTCAACCCAAACACATGGACGACTTCCTGAAAAAATCTCGCAGCGGGTCCCTTGTTTAGAACATTGTCCCTGGTGACGTACGTCTGCACCTCTATGTACTGTAATGGACCCTTCGAAAAAGGAGCGACCTGAACCAAAGCTGCGACCTCAGTGGGGTGAGCCACTTCTTTTGGATGGTCTCCCATGCTCTGGAACCGACAAAGAACACCAGGGAGGAGGCCGGGGGCGACAGGTTTTTGGAGGGATGGAGGTGCCACGTTGACGCGGAACGAAGTGTTTATTGTGGACAAAGCAACAGCACTGCTGCGGCCTGTTGGGTGACCTAGCCTCTGGGCACAAAGACACACACTGACATAAACCCAATGTCTGTACTTCTCTAAAACCACCGCCGAAGGACTTGCATTTCGGCTGGTGAGGAAGTGGTGATGTTTTGGCAAAAACATCAAACCAACACCACATCTAGAGTGCTGGCTACCCTGTGCAGGAAAAGTATAATATTATGTATATAGACTCACCAAATATCCAAAAAATCATAAAAAATCTCCAAAAGTCTAGAATCTAGAACCCAAACCAAAGAACACCAGTTTCTTTTAGAGGCCAAAGGGATCAAAAGAGTATGACATGGGATCACGGTATCTACGCCCCTCTCTTTATGCCATTCCCTCTCAGGGTCAAGTCTCCTTTGGAGTCAACGAGTCCAAGGCCGATGCTGGTGCCTTGGCAGCCGTGCTGGGCGCGGCGGCGGGCTGTGATGGTGCGATGTGCTGCACGTTGCCGCTCCACACGTTGGCCGGGTGCGAGCCATCAGTGCTTTTCATCGGAAAACCTGCCGAGACCAGGGGAATCTGCAACATGGCTCCTGGCAGAAGTATGATAGTATAGCCATGATTTTGCCATATATAGCTTATATATATATATATTATAGATTCTGTTCTTTGGCTGAAAGCCAAATTGAATCATTGAAAATGAACTCCTCAAGTTACCTTAGAGCATTCAGGTAATGAGGGCCCCAAGCAGCGGCCTTTGGAGACCTCTATCTACCTTCAAGTCCATCTTGTTTGATGCTTCGGAGAGCTGGCTGCACCTGGGAAGCTGGCTTCAGAGAGCTGCACGAAGTCGTTGGACACCCGAAGCCGCTGCGCGTGCTGCGCGCCATGCGACGAGAACGTGGTGACCGCAAGCGCGGTGGCCATCAAGGCTGTCAGTCCTTGGAACAAGGACCCGGCCAAGCAGTGGCCAATTTTCTCCAAACAGGGCCGTCAAATACTTGCTTTGAACCCATTGACACGCGCAAATGCTGCACATGGCTTTGGTGATGGCGGATCACAATGGATCACAACAAAGAACTGTGGGAGGGAGAGTTGGTCTCAAACTCAATCTCATCAACCACCAGCTCCCCACATTAGATGAAGAGTTGGCACTAAATCCGAGATTCCCAGAGCGACTTGCCAGACCTTCCCTCGGAGTCCACGAGGCTCCGAGTCCAACAAAGTCCTCTCTGCTTCTGCCTGCATCATCTCTAGCTGAGACCAAGCTGTGTGTGGTTTTTGGAGCCAAAATGCTTCGGACATGACACAGGACACCCACCTGAAGGGTCTGGGAACACACGCGAGCTGGATGGCTCTCGGCAAAACACACACATTGCCGAAGACCTCGAGTGATTTAAAGCATCCTTCCCTTCTTGTTCCTCCAGCCACCCCGCAAATATCCCCCCATGCTGCTGCTTGCAGCGACTCGCTCCAACAGTAGGGGGAGGTCCCTGTACAGTTGGATTTCCTCTCATTGTTTCTGATGCCCGTCAAACTCTCTGATGGACACAGTAATCAGACACGGTAATCATCTTCCAAGTCTGATCATCTTCCACCTCAAAGATTCTGCTCAGGACTGAGCTGGCCAGCTGAGAATCGGACAACTATCCTTCGCCCTTCCACCCCGTCGCTTCGCTCGCTTCGTCGCTTCGCTTCGGTTCGGGCTTCCTTGAAGGCGCTGGCGGTCTCATCGTCTAAGCCTTGGACGATGACCTTCTCCAAGCCGCCCATCACCGAGGCCAACTCAGACCAGACCTTGTCGTTCAGCTCATCTTTGAAGCCTGAAAGGAGCTCCTCAAAGGTGATGGAAGGTGTTGAGAGGGTTCGTTTGAAAAAGCAATAGAGTGAAGATGGAATGGAGACTGGTCACGACCGCCAAACCTGAAGGACACTGGCAATCCAACACTGGCATTTCACTTCTCGTTCACAAAGCAGCTCCAACAACTGTCTCACCTCATGTTCCCTCTGAAGAGACTCAAGTGAAGAAAGTACCTCTTCCAAAATCGTTTGAACACTTGGGTGGTCTTCCAGCTTCAACAAGTCCGAAGCCTTCTTCGGGTGCACCAGTTGCTCCATGACTCATCAGGCAGTAAGAGGAAAGCAAAGCAACATCATGAGCCAAACAACTCAACCTATTTATACAGTCCTTTTTGATAAATTCTGCTTATATACTGTTATGATATACTCTGTCCTTTTTTTTTGGGGGGGGTGAGGACACAACAATCACCTGGCCGAGCCATGGTGCAGAACAAATCCACGGACCCCACCGCCACCGGGCGATTCACCAAGGCTCCGCCATGAATCCCGGCTCCAGGACGCCCGCCTTGCAGGTGGCAAAGGTATCGGACAAAAGGCCGATCCGATCCTCCGCAGACACCAGCTTCAGATTCTGCACTAGGCGCATGAAGACCTTTTCCGGATAGAGCACCTGACCGACGGATGAAGACAATGCCCCCCCCAAACGCCCACAAGGTCCACAGTTGATGCACACAGATCTTGCTGCTTCCAATCAAATTGTTCTTCAAAGGATATGGATTCGAGCATCACCATTTGGAAGCACAAAGGATACATAGCCTTCACTGCCCGGATATCTCTTCTCCGTGGCCAATCCGTGGCCCCAGGGCTTGATCGGAATGGTGGCTCGAGGAGTATCAACATGTGTCAACCATCCACCCTAGATTTTGCTCTAGGATATGCTAGGATACCATTTTACAATTTACAACCGAAACATCATGAAACATGCTTACCCTTTCTCTGGTGCTTGAAACAAGCACTTTCATATTATATACGTTCATTCTTCCCAAGGCACTCGAACTGGCACGTGTTGCCCGAAGTTCACCTTCAGGACAGAGGCTCCACTAAGGTCGCATGGGATCTTCCCAGTCTTCTCCTCCAAAAAGGAAACAGGCGCTTCACCCTTGTCCGTGCCCACGATGACAGGGCAAAACCAAACCTGTGTGAACGGCAGGCTTTCACGGACATCTCCCTGTAGGAACCAATAGGAAGTCCATGTTGGACACGCATTCAGAAAAGATTGGCGATCACTAAGGTGTATCCCTGGTTCAAGATCGAGTCAATCTGTTGGTAAGAGGGAACATACAGCCTGAGGCACAGCCTAGGTCAACGATATCCTTGCTTTTTTTCCACAGTTGCCTCAACGATACCCTGGTCATGTCATGTTCTTTTTGTCAGGAGACCTTGCAGCAAATCTTCAGGCTCAGCAGGTCCACTGGGCACAACGGGAATCCACAACGGTCCGGACGCTACGAGTAGCAGGACTTGTGCCACGGTCCACTTCCCCCCTGCCCATCACATGTTCTCTTTTCCTGCAGCTGCGGTGCCTTGGCATCGTCATTCGTCTCCTTGGACCCATCTGCCAAGAACCAACTCTGCTTCAGCTCCACCTCCAGTCTCGAGCGATCGCACGAAGCGGCGTTGGATGGGCGTTGGATGGGCAAGGGTGGAGAAAGTCACCGAGAGATCTCAGTGGGCCGCTTATCTTGAGGCCAAGGGTTTTTTCTGTCAGCCTCTCCAGTGAACTACTTGACGCACTAGGGGCTCCAGAAAACAGGTTCTGGCGAACAGAAACTGCACTATACATGTATAGCTTTCGGATCTCCGGATTTGCTTCCGCAGAAATCCTCCGAACCATGGCAGCTCCAACCCCCGCGCGTTTTTTTTCGGTGTCCGGTCCATCTTGGACTCCGACCTGATTGGAGGTGAAGGGATCGTTCAGCACTTCCAACAAAGGAAAGCCCATTTGCTCGGTCCAGGAACTCATCATCTTGTCAATGGGCTTGCCCGAGACCTCCTTCCAAGCATTCCACAGGTCAATGGTGCGGGTGTTCCCGTACTTGTGCCGGGAGAAGTAGAGCTGCAATCCTTTTTGGAAATGCTCGTCACCTGAGCATGAAAAAGCCGAACGGCTTAGGAAACAGCAGTTGCTTTCAAGAATTGTCTTGTCAAAAAGGAACGTAACATGAATTTGCCTGAAGACTGACCTCCCCAGTCCAATCTACTCAGTAGAGGAGCATGCATCCATTGAGAGTGCAATGTTATAGTCTCCCACAGATTCCCTTCCTTGCTAGGACGCCCAGAGCCTCGAGCAGCCTTCTTCAGAGACACGGTCACTCGAAGCATCCGCACAGGACAAGTTGCCGCAACATCTTTCAGGGAGACGTCCTCAAATTCTTTGGGGATTTCATGCCCAAAACAATCATCGCCCAACACCCAAGTCACCCAGGACCCGGTAGATCATCCGCACTACGCTGCCGCCTTTGCAGTAACTGATCGCGTCAAAGACCTGATCGCATCACGACCCGGTTGGGGTCATGACTCTCTCACTCTCAGTGGGATGGGGATCCCACAAATCACCATGAGATAGGCTAGGCCTTGGAGAACAGATTTGGAGGACCACTCGATTCCAGAAGAAACAGCGGATTCCATATATGACCTCATCAATTGATCTTATATGATCTTATAAATACGTAAAAGAATCTGTCCATATTCTCTTGGCAGCAGCCTGGAGGGTTGCAGGCTACATTCCCACCAAGTTATACACCAATAGTTTCATTCATAACTCAAAGATCTCAAAAACCAAAACGCTCCTCGGCATCCCATAGAGGGTTCATACTTGCAGGGTCTCCGAAACACCCACTTTTCCGGGCAAACTCACGACCCGACGACCCACGAAATGTCCCGGGCGACCCACTTTTCCGGGCACCTCTTCGACCTGTTCCGCCTTGGCAATGGGCACCTGGATTGGATGGCTACTCCTCAAACCGTCCAACTGCAAGGCCCGTTGCTGCTCCATGCCCACATAGGATTCCTCGCTGACACTGAAACTGAAGACATGCAGACTTTTAGGACTTCCTCATGCTTTTGATGACTCGACTCAATTCGGAGAACCTCCAGCTTTCTGCAAAAAAGTAAACACAGAAATCATAAGAGAGACAAACCACCAAGAAGAACGATAACGAGAGTTCCATTCTGAAACGTGTTCTCCGAGAGTCCCAGATGTGCCAGTCGGGGTACAAGCGATCAGAACAGAAGGTCTGCATCCAATTCGCAAAGCCCTCATTGAGCCACAAGTCGTCCCACCTCACCAACGGATGCCTCACGCTTTTGGACCTCCATATTTCCCGAACTAGACAAGAAGCAACCAATGAATTTCTTCCAAATGTTTGGAGACACATGGAGACACCCCTTTCCACAAACACCCGTGTTTTCCCCCATACCCAGTGGCTTCAGACCTGCCTTCCTAAACTGGTGGGTGGGCCAATTCAATTTCTGATTGCAGTGCGCTTCTGTATGTCCCAACGGTGAGGACACCCTTTCCCAAGTTTTCAGACCAACTATGGTATAGCAGTGTAGCCACGCTCTCACCGCCTCAGGATCCTGTTCATGGGGGTCCTTATAGTCCAAACATGGGGTCCTTGATACCGCAGCTGAGAATGTCAAGTGACCCACTGGCAGATCATGGACCAATTTATATAGATCAACTTAGATGCATTCGCACAGGCCATGTGGCTTTAGACAGTTTGCTCACCCACCCCACTGAAGCATCAAGGAGCCCTCGCCTCGACTTGGAGAAGAATAATCTTGATTGGAGGAAGTAAGATACACTCCTCCAAACCATTCCAACGCAACCAGACTGGGGAACAGCTTATAAGGCTTATATATGTATTTCCTTGACACTTGATGTTCCGGTAGTTCATCCCAGTTCAAAAAAGATTCAAACATGCCCACCCAGTAGAAGAAATCTTCCTCTTCCGACGAGGCCAGTTTCACTCCCATCGATGTCATGGATTGGCCCATTCGATTCACACCATTTGGGCCGATTTCACTCTATGGATCCCGAACTCCAAACTGATCCACCCTCCCTCCATCTCCATCTTCCAGGTTTGCCAGGTCCCCCCAGGTATCCCAGTCCCCACTCATCCCAGATCCAAGGTGCCACTCCATGGTGACCAAGTTCCCGAACCTGACGACTCAACACGCGAAGGAAAACCGCGAAGACGCCGGGTGTCTTCGTGTGAGCAAAAGGACCGTCTGGTGACGTGGGACGGTTTGGACCTGCTTGGAGAAAGGAGAGATAGGCAATGACTATCATGTATCGATAATCTTTTCGATAGTACTGTAGATCGCACTTAGTTCTAGGTGAACCACAAACGTTCAAAGAGATTCGCACATAAGTCCCGTGACATCAAAATGATTCAACATGTAGAGGACATGGCGTACCGACCTTTTCGTGCGTCTCTTAACGTGGGACCTGTTGTTTGGCTTGAGGCCCGCCCTCGCTCCGCGTGCTCCCCGCGCTCCGCACCCGCAAACCAGGTCGAGACCTTTGGAAATTCGGATACCGCAAACCATTAATCAAGAGTATTCGTATGGGGGGCTTTCTTATCAACAGACACTTTCTTTCAGGATTGCTCCGAAGACAATGGCTCAACAAGAGCGAACATCCTGCATCTACAAGCTGCTCACCAGCGAAGCTCGCTTGACCAAATGTATGAGAAACCCACCAACGAGTTCTGGACATCGATCGGTCTTTCGTGTAGTTGTCATTTTCTTGAATTTGCTAGTCTACAAGGAGATTGAGCTACAACCCTTCCCAATCCATTCCAGTGGTTCGTGCCGATGGAGAGCCATGTACAGTATGTCAGTATGAACTCAAACCAAAAGGCACCTACTAGATTTAATCCAGTTGTTACTTTGAAAAAGTGAACTCCAACCAATCCAGTTAGTTGAATGGCAGGGTTTAGTTTGCCAATGGCCTTTGTATTTGAAAGTAAGGCACCACTGGTGCGCCAGCTCGTGCGCGATCACAGTGCAAATCCTCTGCTTCTGTGTGGCGCTCACCGTTTGCTCTTCGCACAACAGTGCCACCTGCGTTCTTTCTTTGTGTGGCGGAAACAACACATGTACACACACGCACATCGTTGGATTTCTGGAGTAGTTGACCAAATGGATGGGACATGATGGGAATTGACATATTTCACACTGACTCCACTGTGATGTTCAAGCGGATTGGGACTCTTCTTCTATGGGTGGTTCCATCGTGCAACAGGGACTAATCGAAGAACGTAAGAGTCGTATTGACTCATTGAGGGGTTCCCTCCTGCATCGATTGAGATCCAACTTTGCTCTCAATACGTTCTATCTCCCAACTTCGCCTCACGTTCTGACCCTATGTTCATGCGAAAACAAACTCACAAACGGTCCCCCACAAAGCACCTATAACCTTTGATGTCCTTTTGAGCCCAGTTGAAATCCTCATTATAGTTCAATTTGAATCCCGCCCAATAGTTCTTCCCTTTAATTCTGTTTTAAAGCTTGAGGGACTCCTCTTTGTATCTCTTGATTGTGGCTTTTGATCTTGATTGACGTCCATTTCTTGTGATTCCTAGTTCAGTTGAAGCCTGTTTGCTTCCTGTTGAATTCCTTCGATTCTTTGTGTTGAGTTCGTGTTGGCTTGCGTCGACTCCTTCTTGTCTTAATTAGACATTTAATAATTCCTCGTGATTCCAGTTGAAATCCTTCCAGACCTTGTTGACTTTGTTGAATTCCCTAGATTATTCCTTCTGAGATCTTATGAGTTCGATGAGATGTATTTAAAGTCCATTTTTGTATGGTTTGATTGTATTATTGATCTTGTTTCAATAATAACTCCATTCCTTTTCCTCAACCCAAATAAGAGGGTTGGGACTACTGACTATGAACGTCCTCTGCACACAACATGCTCTTGCATGCATGCCAATACAGCGGAAAGGGGAAGAAATCAACTGGAGGAAGCAATTTGATGCTTGTGGCTAGAAGTCTGGCCTTCAAGAGGCAGTATATATATATATATATGTAATGGTCTATCTTCTGCCAAAGAGCAAATCTGCACAGGAACCCGGGTTGGCAGTTGGATGCCTCCCTTGGTGAACCCTGCCATCATGTTGAGCAAGATACCGGTGCAATCGGCCTCCCTGCTGTCCCCTAGGTCCACCAAAATTGGACCCTGGAGAGACCAGGCCTCGCGGTAAGTGACCAGGCCCCAATTCTCCATGGCTCCCGCGGAGAAATCCGGGATTGCGATCATGTCCTGAGTAGGTCTGGCCACGACCCACATATGGAGATAATACTGGAGAAGGCCTGAAGATACCTCGTATAAATTAAGAGGTATTGCTTATATTCAAATACAATATAAAGTAACATAACTAATATATCATCTAATATCAATATCTGTCTCCCCTCCAGACTTTCCTTCAATGTTGCAGTTCAAAGCCCACGCAAAGAAGTTAAAGGATTTCTCCAGCAAACTTCTCATGAAACGCTGATCTTGACATAGCCCAACCAGTTCGGACCGCGTGAGTACAGCTATCGGCCAGTCTCCATTTTCGGCAAGGGATACGGAAGACCAAAGAAGTCATCGTAGAATTCCAGAGCCTTGATGCAGCACTTCAGAGCGAAGGCACATCTAGCGCTGTTTCCTGGCACTTCTAGCGCTGCATGTCATCTTTTGAGTGGTGAAGAAACGGAGTGGAGAGCACCGGGCGTTGCCTGCGGCCTGTTCCCTGGTCAATATATCACAGTATATCTGGTTCCTTATAAACATGCAGAATAGACTCTCGCCCTCTGGGATGTTGGGAAAACCATGCGAAGATATGCAAAGAACGAGCCAGCCCTTCGGACCTACCAGCAACCGAGTCCACGACAGTCCTACTCATCGGTGGCCGGTTCGGCTGGACCTTCAAACCTCCAGAACTAGTGTGACTGTGACTATTCCCTCAACAGGTTGGAATTGCACAGAACACCATGATCCGTCTCTGGTTGTGGAAGCTGGTCTGCCATAGGCAGGTGCTTGACCGAGCCTTCCAGTCCCCTCTAATCGGATGCCTACGTACTACGAACGTATACACGCAAGATCTTTACGTCGCTCACCTGTCATGAACATCCAAAACAGCAGGGCCGATGAAATTCACCCAACCCCATCAACATGGACTCTGAAAAGGACTTCTCACCCATGGAACCATATGAAACCTGCGCCTGGGCAAGAGAAGATTCGAGCGAGGACCCCACTCTTGGTCTGTGCGCTGATGAATTCGAACTCCCCCACACAGAAGGCCAGCAAGTAGGTGCCTAAGTGGCTGCGCATGAGAAAACCAGCTGCAGTGACTCCCCACACTTCTGTACCAGAACATTGGCAGGCTGAAACCTGTTTGCAGGGATCTCGGTCGCTCGGGATGGATGATCCGGATCCTTCCCCAGCCACTCCCCCTTGGCATCAAGGAGCTCATCTTCGGCGTGACCATGAAGACCTCCTGGTGCCACATGACCATGTTAACGGCACCACCAAGCTCATGATACCACCTTCTCTGACCCATCCATCAGCATCTGGAGATTTGTGTTGGTCGATTTGTCCGGTGCTTCGGAAAGTTGCTCATTGGAAAAGGCACGGTACCCGGTGCTTTTCCAAGCACAGCGCTCTTGGCAGGACGGGTGGTCTTCATCAAGTCCCTCTCCCACTGTCACGTTCATGATTTTCGGGAGTACCCGGTCGTCGTCATGGGGAGTACCCATGGTGTCGCAGTGAAGAGATTGCATGCCCGAGCATGCCGGACACACACACACAACATCTCTTCACATGGAGGTGTCAAACTTGCAGCCGTCTTGGTGCATTGATGGTTGTCACCGTGGAGGCCTGTTTTCAAAGTTACAGATTTCATGGTGGCCTTCATGATGGAGGAAAATCACCAGCTGAGCAACCTCGTGGAGACCAACCCTCGTATGACAACTATGCTGGGACAAGTAACACGTAATTACTTAGTACTGGCTAGCCAGGGCCATACATTCAGTCCAAGGACAACATGCATTGTAGTCAGTTTGTTCTTGAATGCAGTTCTTTCACCATCTCAAAGCCCCACCCGACAAAAAAGACATCTCAAGAGCTGCTCTTCTTGGCTGACAGTCTCTGTCTCCCATTCCCCACCCGAGACGGTCATGGTAGCCACGGCGATCACGATCCGCGTCTCCTTCTTCTTGCCATCTGCTCGAGTCTCTAAGCTGCTCGGAGGCCTCAGGCGTTTCATCTGCGGATGGAGGCCTCTGAGGTGGCAAGCAATTAGCTGGGGATGGCTTCAAGGCCAGGCTGTTGATCTGACACCATGGCATAACGGCAAAGCGAGAGAGAGAGAGAAATGGGAAAACAACCAACACCTGCATGATTCTAGGATTCTAGTGGGGTGTTCTTATTTTGAGCCTCGGCCTAATGACGCGAGCCCTATGTTCTCTTGTACCAACCCCAGTGACATTGAGGTAAGGAAGGGAAGACAAACCCAATGAGGTCGGAACCAGCAACCTTGGTCCCTATATCAATGAATCATCCCATCTCAGCCGAGCTGTAGACTCTCTTTGAGAAAACATAGTCCCTCTCGCATGGGTTGCAAAAAAACTTGCTAATTCGTATTACTAGTAACAAGTGCATCGCTACTAGTAACAAGGGCATTACTACTAGTAGCTAGAAGCTACTAGTAGCAGGGGCATTGCTACTAGTAACAAGGGCATTACACATTGGGCGAGGGCCATACCATGTTTCCCTGAGTGACCCTTGAAGCGAACATCTAGGATCCCACATGTGAAAAGAAAGGCGTCCGAGGAGACTAATGTTGACTATACCCCGACGGCCCCAGCATAGCCAATCATTAGGGTCACAGGTATTGCTTCTGAAATCCTCCTCAGATTAATCGAACAAAAACAAACACTTCAAACTGCACAAGAAACGGCCTCGGCTGTCAAGGGCCCAGACATGTTGGAGATAGCCATGAGATTTGCTGGGTAGATCATGGTCACCGTGAACGTGGCCTTCCGTGCCTGAATCATCTGGAAATCCCAGGCAGAAACAGTGGTTAGAAGACCATAAATTCTGGTGGGTTACACTAATTATAGACTTACATCACATTAACATATATAACAGTTTAAACTTAACTCTAATTACATATGGTTGACTTGCTGAACTAAAGTGACAAGTGCATCTTTTGCTCATGAATCCCAAATCCATAAGATCCGACTTTAGGCAACGAGCACAGTCGACCAAGCGAAGGCATTGGCCGTTCCAACCGAGCTGCCGGCTCGTCCCAACACGGGAAGCAGCGTCGCGCGTCGATGGCTTCGAACTGCGTCGTGGCCAAAAAGCGCTTCTGGCCCTTCGAGTCGGTGTACTGTGAGCGGTAGAAGCCCGCCATCTGATCCTCGAAGTAGAGAACCGGAAAAATGTCCATGGGGGACAAAATAAACAAGTAAGGACTGTGCTTGACAAACGGCTCAAAAAGAAGACAGCTGCTGTCAACACAAATCTGACAGCTTTTGCAAGTGGAATATATGCCTCACTGAAAGCCAACTGTCTTAGCAAGGGAGATGCACGGTCTGAAAGAGACCAAAACGCGAAACACACACACACACCCCACAGCTGCAAGAAGACTCAGCTCAGCTCTCCGTATCTGCCGGGGATCATTGAGGGTCCCACGGAACTTGATTTCCAAGATGCCCTTGCCAACGGGTAAGACTTCCTCAAAGCCGACCACGGCCATCTTCGACTTCGTCTTCAGGGTAATCGACTCGGCACTCGACGCGCTCGAGCCCTCGGAGGGCGTGAAGGTGGCGGAGGACAAGACCAGCTCGTGAGCATGCACACTGATACTGTCGGTCGCCACCTGAAGGACATATGTCGGTGGCCCCGGGATTTGGCCAACATGGGAATTTGAGGCTTCATGCATGTGAAGACCTATGGTGGAGTTTGCCGGGTAGGCGAGGCAGTTAACATGGAGAATCCAGTACTCAGACTAGACTAGACTCAGGTGTTGTATTATATATATCATATTGTTCATACACACACAATATACATGGACATAGCTTGCTCAGATTCTGTAGTTCCTGCAAAACACAGAGTCCTTCACCAACAACATATATTAACATTTCTTGGTGCGAATGATCACGATTGTGATTGTTTGATAACATGGTATTGTTTGGCTCATTTGTTTGTATGTTCTCCAGGCCTGCACATCACAAGTGATCTTTACAACACCATCAAACGTGAACTTTTCCACATCTGGCTCTAGAGTAAGATCATAGTGCTCGGGCAGTACATCTGAAGGAAGCAGCTCTCGCTTCGTTCCCGCCATGGCACTTGGTCGTTTGGTGCTTTTTCGGCACGCAACTAAAGAATTTTGGGAATGCTTGAGGAGTCTGCAGGCAAGGACACTTGTGTACCGGGCTGGTCTGCGGCCTGGGCATGTACAAGTCTTTGCACCTGAAAACAGGAGACTTAAAAAACTTACGATTGGTGGAGCCAGTGAAGCCCTCGCTCCACCCGTGGAAAACCAGTCACCTCCGACCACCAGTCGTAGTTTTACGATGTTTTAAGTCTATATCCGCGCTGAAGGTTCACCTCTTTCACTGCACTCTGGGTTTCTCACCATCTTTGAGGCACTTAGGAGTTTGCGAGCAATCAGCTGAGCACAACTGCGTGGGCACGATGGGGTCCAAAAAACATTAGGTCCTTATGTTAGGCTGTATCGTTCTCGGAGAAAAATCGTTGTCAGCCATGCGCCCTGTATGCATCACTTGTATTCACTTGTGACCATGACTACGTGCAACAATGGGAACTGCCCATCTTGGCCGAGTCCCTGCAACTCATCCTCTCCATCTTCCACTCCTCCTTCGGCCCCTTCTTTTTCTCGCTCGCGACAAGGGGTCCGGGGCAATCTTTATGTCCCCGGGCAATCTCGGTGTCCTCATGAGGTCATCGACCGATCTCTCTTAGGACTTCACATCTTCGACCTCACCCCTCTCGGTCTCCTTGACTTCCTCCGCCTCGTCGAGCTCGTCCGGCGCGACCGGCTCGTCCGGTGCGGAGGAGCCGCACATGTCACGCATTTCATCGATCAAGGCACGGATGACGCGGATGGTCATCACGAGGGAAGGGCCTCGGATCTGGTTTTGGTCATGTTGGGGGGGGATGATGGACTTTTGCTTGGCTAAAAGCCGTTTGATCGCCCAGTGCCCTGTTGGAGGATGATGGAACAACAGATCTAAGAACTGTTGAAAATAGATGGATCTTGGATGAACATGACGTGTGGGAGCTTGACCATGAATGAGCAGGTCTATTGGTCTTTGCAAATGTTGGCGTGCAGTCACCAAAAGGGACAGAAGGAGTGCTCTAGATCAACAATTCCTGGCTGGATCCAGCCGCCCAACCAGGTTCTGGGGGATTCGTCCATTTCAGTTTCCGACCTCTGGCACCTCGGAACACGCCTAAGAATTTGTCGGACTCCAAGGTATGTTTTTTTGAATCCACCTACTGTAGCCCATCCTAGGGAGCCTCTGTATGGGACCCTTCCGGCCCTGGTGCCTGTGGCCAGCAGAACGATAAAGATCAAAAACATCCTCTGAGTGCCTTCCATCCGTGTCCAACTGTTCTCCTCGGCTTCGTGTCTGTTTTTTTTGCGCGAACGAATCCCAAATGGCTCACACACACAAATCACATGAATCAAATAATCGTCCCTGCGCAACCAAAACTATAGGGGAAGACATGGGAAAACAGGTAAAAAGAAGACCGTTTTGTCTTGACAGAGTTCCAGCGTCATTGGCATGAAAACAAAAGGTGGCCAGCACCATGAGCATCCCCAACTCGAGAAGATGTTCTTCAGTGCGGTTGTGCTCCTGGGGTATACTCACTCAGTGAGAGGAAAAGAACCCACCACAAACCGAGCGGGAATGTAGTGGCTTGGCTTGGCTTCGGTGAAGACTTCATTGGTATCTATATGCATATATATACATATATATATATAATATGGTACCCCCCCATGAACCATTTGTTTCGCTTATTTGTCTCATTTAGTCTTTTGATATCTGTTGCCTGCTAAGGTCTCTCACTGCTGGTTTTCTATTTTCGAGAGAGTCTTCTGTGCCACAGGCTGCACTTCAAACCAGAGCAGCAGCCGCCCTCCAACAGCAACAATCACCAGAACAAGAACTATGACAACTCACCTGTGAGGGCTCACCTCGATTCCACCTCTCCCGAACGCCCAATCCAATTCAGTGGCCGACTCGGCCGGTCGCCGAACGGACTCGGCCGGACTCGCCCAGGTCGGCCTGGGCCAAGTAAGGCCTGTTGTGCAGTGTCACCACCAGCGAGATCAACAGAATTAGACCGATGAACTCCAACTGCATCACGGCATCCAACCTCAAATCAGAAGAAGCATCGTGCGCCGTGGATCCGAACAAAGGCGCGTGCTGTACGGTACACGGCCCTGGGGCCCCTCCAGAACGTAGAAACTACCTGGAAGAGGACACAGATTTTACTATGAATATCTATGCATGAGTTGCCAAGCTTTTTCAGAAGCAGAAAGGGTTGTGGAAAGATGTGGAAAGTAGATCAGCATCGAAACAAAACAGGTGCCTGCTTCATCTTGCTTCTCTCCCCACTTTTTAGCTGTTTGGTCCAAGGTGCGAAGATGGCCAGACTGAAGACACCAAGGCCAAGAGAACCTGGATGCAACATAGAGAAAACACCGCACATTTCTTCTCTCTGAACACCACACATATATACTGCATATAATACGCATATATATATATATATGCAATTAGCAGGTGTTTGTCATTTTTGCATCATTACTAACATTACCACAGTAATGATAATGATAATTACATGTCCAATCATGTCTATACATCTCTCCATCTTGCAATTGTTTTTTTTTTCCGGTCAGGTATTTTAAAAGGCCTGGACCCCATGCGCACACGCGTGGCCGCGCACTTGGCCGCACCTTCCGCAGAAGGACTGTGACCTCCCAGAACTTGTGGTCTTTCTTGTAGGGGCCCGTCAGGTATACTGCCCCTGTGTTGCAAAGGCAGGAACAATGCAGTGTAACTTGGGGCGCTGTGTGGGTTCCACGACTTGAGAGTCAAGATTCAATTTATCAGTTCATAATGGTTGGTATAACACGAACTCCAATCATCCAAGTGTATCCAAGTGCTTAATCAGCACGACTCACGGAAGCCACGTCAGCCTTCGGTGAACAAACACCTAGGTGGAGTATATATATATGGGATCTGGTCGAAATGTCTTCTTCCAAAAATGGCTGAAAGTCGTGTTCACATGGGGGCCCGCTACATATTCTTTACTTTTGGCACACACACACACAGAGGTCAATGAAGGGAACATGGGCCAAACAAGTATTGGCGCCAAATTGTAAGAGGCGTCACTAGCGCTGCACCGCTTTCAGCCGATCTCCGAGCTGCAAGCCATGCTTGAAACAAAAGACATGTTGCAAGTCAGCCTTGGAAGGGTCCACCGCTGGAATCTGGCAATGTTTGCTAGCGCGGATCTAGCGCAGTGCTACCGCGCGGCTAGCGCACTTTTCAGCCAGCCACTTTTCAAAAACCTGACGCCGTTCTGAACATCTCCTAAGGCAAACACTAGCGTCACTAGCGCAAGTCTACCGCAAACCTAGCGCCCAGCTGCAGAATAGGTGTGTTTAGCTGGGGGCCCGCTACATAATCTGATTGAAAAAACATCATAAGCTACTTTCGACCCCTTTATCTATTTTTTTTGATTATACGTAGACTTTTGGCCGGACTCCATATGTATGTACGCTTCAATTCTGTCAACTGAAACCTGCTCGCAACATGTGATCTGCCTGACGAATTGCACTGAGCCTTATAACTATATTAATATTAATATATATAACCCTGGGAAATATGCCACGTTTACCAGCAGGTCCTGGTATGGAAGCCATGAAGGACCGAGGACCCGGGTGACAGTTGGGACCCATTCTTGTATCGAGTCATCTCCTTCTGTTGGGTCGCTTCGTTGCCTGGACTGGTGATCTGCTCATGCCGAATGAGCCAAAGCCAAGATGAGGGGCCCGCCACACACACGATGATTAAGAGCACCTCAGCAACCCAAGCAGAAAAAGGTACCTGTGGAAGGATCGCAAGCAAAGTAAATTCACGTCAGTATATAATTTCATGTAAACTCCAATGCATGTACCCGAACTCAGGGGTTCAGCCAAATTTGTGACTAGTGGGCAAGGTGTGCTTTCACTTTGAATGACTGGACTGGGCACATTCGCCTCGACATCGATCCCGTGCACACAACAGGGAAATGGAACCAGAACCAAAAGTGTTCCAAGCTCAACTCCTACAGTCCAACCTACTAGCGATGGCCTGAGACGTGTGAACTCGTCCTTGAACTTAAGACTTATCCGTCGTCGCCTTAAACATTCCGCGTCGTCATCTCTCGCAGGCGTTGCCGCTCCCAAGTGGCAATCGTCAGGGGAACGGGCATGCTCACATCCTCCTCAAAGCCACAGAAGAGCTGCCCGCCACGGTCTTCGGTGCTCAGGCGATAGCAAACCAAATGCCTGGAAGAGGTGTGGAGGAAGTCATCTCCGACCGTCTGGTCTTGGTGCTATTGAGGCATTGGCGGCATTGGGTAAGAATTCTGCCGTGCAGTTTGTCAATCACCAAAGTTCCAGTATCTTTGTCGTGGTGCCTTAGGTATATTCCCAGGTTTCAGTAGATGATGATGGTTCTTAAAGACCTTTCTCAAAAAGTGTGATATATAATGATACATGCAGTAATATAGTCTTTTGCAGAATGTTACAGGTGATGAGGCACACCCTAGTGGTACCAAATCCGGGGCATTCCCAACTGTGTTGTTTCATGTTGCTTCTGGCCAAAGCTTCGACACGCTGCTCGGGCAATCCTGGACTGTCCCAAAAAGTCTTTTGTGTCGGCCTTCCTAAAACAAACAGATCGAATCAGTCGCAAAGCCTCGGCACGAGTAAAAAGACTGGACAAAGAAAGACTTGAACATTTCATGTTCGTTGGTACAGTTGGTACTTGTTCCATCTTGTTCCTCTGCAAATCAGTGGGTGTGCTGTCTCAATTGGGGTCCACCGGTGCATGAGACACCAAGATTGAGATGCGGCTAGGCTGGTCCACCAGGACCGAATTCCTCTTGTTCCAGCATACTTCCTTTGGATAACGACCAGCACTACATGTCCCTATTTGCCCTGATTCTCTACATCTTTTCTTCAGGAGTACAAAGTGAATACTTTCAGCGGTTGAAAAAAACTCCAACCCAAACCTTGTAATGTCGGATCCTAATTAGTCAAATGGGAGGGAATAACAAAAAGTTCTCGCCAAATTATTCCAACACCCTGAATAGTTTAGTGGGAGGAAATAATAAATGTTTCTTCACCCAGGGTGTCTTTTTGATTTTGTTTACTTTTATATTGTTCTGCTATTGCTCCCCCTTTAAAGTCCTTACTTACCTCTCCTGAGGTTTGCTTGATTCATAAAATTCTGACCTGGAAATCGTTTTCAAACACGCTTATTAAAACTCAACGATTTCATTGCTCCAAACCAGGGGGGTAGTACACAAGCACAAAGGAAGTGAATAATATCAATTGTTTAGGAGTTTAAAGGGTGGGATTAATAAGCAAACTTGGAGCCCTAAGGGGGAAAAACAACTTGTAATTGTTATTCATTGTTATTCTATTGCTGCCCCTTCAAATCCTTACTTATATCCGCCGACCCAATGCCTTTGGGGGAGCGCGCCAGAGACTACGAGGCTCGCTTGATTCATGGAATTCTGACCTGGAAATCGTTTTCAAACACGCTTATTTAAACTGAACGATTTCCTTTCTCCAAACAAATGTTCAAGGGGGGTAGTACACAAGCACAAAGGAAGTTAATAATACCAATTGTTTAGGAGTTTAAAGGGTGGGATTAACAAAAAAAACTTGGAGCCCTAAGGGAAAATAGAACTAACTTTATTATAGTTCTGCTATTGCTGCCCTTTCAAATCCCTACTGAACTCTACTACTTCTACTTCTACGAATACTACTATATATAAGGGTTTTTGTGGCGGGAATTCTATTGATTGTTTGCTATTATAGGGGGACGGGTTTCACTACTTAAGACCCAACATTACCTCGAGATACATTGAGAAACTGCCATGAACATGTCCACCTTTCACACGTGTTCATACCATTGACAACAAGCGCCAAATCCGCACACATAACGGTCAAACGGCTCCACATGGGTCCCGTTGTGACCACACCTTCCGAAGGCGAAGCAAAGACGTGGGAGGTAGCAGTTGCACGCCACCACCACTGCTGACCAAACATCCACCAGCCTCGAATCGCGGTGAAGGACCAAAAACTGCGTTTAAAACTCTGCTTCGGCGTCGTTCGTCTGAGAAATGGAAATCCCAATATTTATTGTGGTTTCTGCTGCGTTGGCTTCTGGTGTTGCTGTTGTATAGTGGTCCCAATGCCATATATTTAGCCCTGACTCCTTTGCTTGTAAATCTTTATACTGCAGCCTTGGCACAAGGAGAGCAAGAGCATCAACGATAGCGCCAAAATCAGAAATAGTATATCACCACCATAGAGCGTCTTGGAAATCCCGATGTAATCTTGGCTCATGAACAAGTGGCACTTGGGAAGGCATCGCTTGCCCAGTTGCTCGCTGAATGTCTCTTGGACATTTCAAGTCACACATCAATCAGAAAGCTCTGTACCAACATTCTGCAACTCACAAACTACGTTTTTGGAACCAGCGCTGCATGTGGCAATATGCGGCGCACGCAAAAAAGGTTCCCCAAATCCAGCGAGACATGAGACCAAAACCATCCACCCTCACTCCCACGCCCAAGTCCTTCCCCCCTTGGCCGTCTCCTCCAGATTCTAGCTTGAATATTTGCGGTGTTCGATGCTTTCGCGTTGAGCGGAACCACGTCCACCGTACTCACCTCCGAGGTGCCCAGCAGGCATTGAGACGAGAGACCATCGCCTCGGGCCGAGTCCGAGCGCGGAAACGCGAAGGGTGGAAGAGGTGGAAGCGGAAGCCGGAGCAAAGATGCACTGGTTTCTCGTACCCAGGAAGATTAACATGGAACCTGAAGATGGACCTTTCAGGGTGGAGGCGGAGATCACAGCTGTTTTTCGCCCGATTTGGAGGGGAAGCCAGCTTTGTAGTTGAGTGGTCCAGAATGAATCGCAAGCAAATTCACGGCCCCTGGATGCCCCTGGCCTATCCTTCCAACAGGAGTCCTTGGATGGTTCTGTAAGTTCTGTGTTTGTCAGCAATCCTGATCGGCCTTAAAAGGTTCTGCATCCGGAAGCTCCAACAAATGGATGGACTTGGATGGACATTGGTTCAGATTGTCAACATGAGCTGGCTCTGACCGCTGGTCGACGTGACAGGAAACCACACAAATGGGTCTTGTTCCGAAGAAGAACGAAAAGGGGACTGAGGATCCAACAAAGCTTCCAAAAGAACAAATGGATGAACAAACAAGTGACCAGGGCCCCTTCAAACAGCCTTTTTCTAGGGGCCCCTCCTTTTTTCATCTCTGTTTTTCTTGTTGACCAAAAAGCACGCTGCCGCCCTCATGACGTTCCTCCTAGTGACCGCCCGCGCCATTGGCCACGTCCACGGGGATCTTCAAGGCTTCGATGACTTCCTCGCTGTTTCGGATCCGAAACAAGAGCCGAAGTGAAAGAAAAAACCATTTAAAGCGAGAACAACTGTGAGGAGGCTAGAACCGTACCTAGAACCTTTGAAGCGAGGCACATGTGCTGGATTCGGTGGATCCGGGTGCCAGCGAGGTAACACAAAGTGCTACGTGCTGAAGGTCTGCGGTCAAACTTGAATCCTTCAAAAAGAACCCTCCAGGATCCAACAAGACGCCAAGCCCATGTGCAAACACTGCTTCTTGGTGAGTGCTGAATATTTAGGGAGAAAAACTGCTTCTTGGGCGAATGAACTACATTGAACTCCTGCCTTCCAACCTGATCTGCCTTTGCAAAAGGCAATCTTTCCAGGCCAAACTCCCCGATTCGAGGCGTCGTGCGGTTGGAAGCGGCCTGACCGAAGTACGCCAGAACTTTGAAGCTCTGCGAGTTGCTCACTTGGTTCAAGACCTCTGGCACCATCATCTGTGGGTCTGGCACCCAAGGCTGTGGTTCAAATCATGTAAGAAGCACATTATCATCGTATAAATTAGAATGCTATAAGCATGCTTTACTCTATGTCTATGTTGTTGATTGTTTAAAGTTTAAATGTTGTTTGCTCTTCAGCAAAGCCTGGGCCAAGCTATGGCTGACTTTTCCTAGACCACCCTACGGTTACTATCTATCTCGTGCATCCTGAAAACAGATCTCTGCTGAAGATTGCTCAAGTACGCATGCATTAGCAACCCTGGTATGAATGAGCAACCCAAAACCACACACACACAGATGTCTCAAAGTTGAGTCATGAAGAAGTCCCTTTTAGTCGTCTGCTCCATCGCGCGGTCGTACCGTCACGTGGAGGTCATCGGTGTTCAGGTCCAAGCATGTCCAACGGCTTTCATCGGCCATTGCATTCTCAAGTCATTGGGTTTCATTGTATCAAGTCATTCACAAGATCAATGACTAACCTGCATGAGTTTTGGAACGATCTCGGACGCACTGTCTGCGCAAGCTGAGCTTGGAACGGGAAGTGCTACCATCACGTAGGCCATCAATTGGTTTGAGTGGATGGTGCTCTTATAGCTCTGGTCAGTGCTCGCAATGACACCTCTCATGGACCGCGGGAGATCCAGATTGCTACTAGTTTGCGCAAAGCCCCCCTCCTGTTGAACACTTTCCGTACTGTTACAGTTGCTCTTAGCCCTCTGAGGACAAGTGGCAAAAGCGTTATGCTTAGCTTCCTGCAAATGAAAAACAACCTAGTCTTACTTCACACCCTGGAACCGTGACACTCTTTGACTTGACAGCATGGAACCGAGGCGAAGCAAAACGCCATGGAAATCGCCTGATGCGGACACCGCGAAGACGATGGAATGCTGCAACAGGTAGGCGCACCATTCAAAGGATTTCCCAAGGGTTGAGGTAGCACACTTCGCACAAGTCTTGGAGGCGGCCGCACAAAGAATGAGGCCAGTCCAGGGGTCATTTGCAGGTCGAATGCCTACCCACATGATGTGCACATAGTGTGGCTTGTGATGTGTAACCATATCCTCGTATTTCCAATGCTCCAGATTCTGTGGGAAATGTCCTATTCTACTGCTTCCATTAGTGACCGCCAATGTGTGTGTGTGGGGGGAAGGTGGAGCGAACAAGCTTGGTGGACAGCCCTGATATTCGCTGTGAGATTATCCAGTGCAAGAAAGAGAAGAAGTGTAGGAGTCTCATAGGTTGCCGTTCAAGGTTGTCCAAAGGACCTTTGTCTACAAGGTTCAAGCAGTGCTCAGCTCAAAAACGTGCAACGAACCCTGTTCCAGTCACTGGTCTTTTTGCCACGGTTGGTGGAACTTCGATGAACTTCCTACGACACCTCTGACCTCTGTTCACCTATGCTTCAAACCTCAAAGCCTTCTGTTCACCTATGCTCACCTCTTTTTCATGTTCTTGCAAACAGTCACTGGATTTATCTCAGCAATGTCTGAAATGCCCCAACTCGGTCCACAGCAAGACTTTCTCCGACCCAGGATCGAAGGGATCGCCGGATTCGCGGCCATGGGTGGTCGAAACACAACTGACGCAGCCAGGACCTTGCCACGACCCGGGGCACTTGTTGCGAAAACAGCGGCTGATGGTCATGCAACTACCAAGCAATTGCATGTCATATTAATATTGACCGTAGCGACAGTGGACTAAGTTAAAGGTTAAAGGTCCACACAAGCTGAACTGTTGTTAAGAGTGCAATTACCCTTGACATGGTAGAGATGGGCAAAAGGTCTCCAGCCTTCGTAGCCAACTTCGCACATGCCTTCGAAACCGGTTTGGGTGATGTTACCACCAGGGCACGCCCTCCTTGGAAGGTTATGACAGCGGTCTTGCTTGACAATCTTCAACAACCTGCTCACAACCAACCTAGGACAGTCATGCTTGAATAAGTGGCAAGTGAGGGCAAGTGCACATCAAAGGAGGCTTCTTTAACTAGCTAACTAATAGCTAGCTAACTAACTAACTAACTCACTAACTAACTAAGTAACTAAATAAATAATTAACTAACTAACTGACTGACTGACTGACTCACTCACTGACGGACTGACTAAATAAAAAAAAATAGTGTGCAGTATACAATGCATCTGTCCCCCGACCTTACTCTTGTGATGAGAACACGTGATATGCCCATGAGTTTCTTTCAAAACAAGGTGACTAAAGGATGTCGCGTCCATTTTCTTTACGCCTCATGCAACAGAAAACCTCTTGGATGGCCGTCAGTGTCCACATGTCCGTCCCCAACAGGATCCGAACTGCTGGCCAAATGAAATGAGACCCACAGCTGGTCATCAAAGATCTGTTTAGTAGCCAATTTGCTGGAGTGTGTAAAGGTTGACCAAAATAAGAAACATGAAACCACAAGAAGAACCACATCCAGACCATCCAGAATATGTTCCTGGGAGAGCCGAGCTACTGTATACGAAACTGCCATGACTATCCTAATCAATCCTAATCACCTTATTTAGGGTTGCAGAGATCCATGTGACATCAAGTTCGATGTTCGATCTCCAGATCCTCGGCCGGCCTCTATCCTTTGTTCTGCCACATCAAAAGCAAAATAATACAATATATTACAAGATATTGTTCAAAGTCAAAGATTCCAATCAGACCCTGAGCTACTTTGACATACGCATCTGACTCCGGCTATCTCCTTGGCCGGTCGGCTCGCCACATCCCTCCGTTCATTACCGAGGCTGAGCAGCTCATTGGGGCAGTGGAGGCTCGCCGAGAAGTTCTGCGGGTGCACCATCCAGCCAGGCCTCCCAGAGAAAAGGGAGGCCGTGCCAGGCATCATGGGTTTGGTGTTTTTCCACAGTAAGAAAGACCCTCCAATGCTCTTGAGGATGAGGCAGGATGAGTCCTTAATCTGGACATCGATGTGGGGGTTAACTTAGATCCCTTGGAGTGGAGCCACAACCTCACCAACTTTGTGACATTTCATGGCTTGAGTTGGTGTTCCATGTCTCAGGCTATTCTAAGCTGGATGTGGGACTGGCAGTTAGTGGCAAGTCGACAAATGATCGGCTTCTTGCATTCGCAATTGAAAGGGTAATGAGCTTTGCAAAGCCTGCTCCAGTTTGTGTGCAAATGATGACACCGTGAAAAGGCCCTTGGATATCCCCCTTTCCCTTTGACTCGGATTGGCCTTGCAGGGGCTCCTGGCCTTACTACTAGGAGCAAGAAGCTACTAGGGGCTCCTGGCCTTTCCCTGAAACGTCCACGTCCTGAGGCCCAAAACACGGTCCCTCCGAAAGGAAAGACGCACCGCCGTCTGTGGCTGCCGTGTTCGCGTGTGTGGTGCTCTGATTGCCCTCGTGTTGTGCCCTCCTTTCACAGCTTGCCCGGATGACTCCTGCCCGTGCACTTGTCCTTCTGTCTCTGCATCTCGGTGTGGATGCTCACAGAAGGGAGGCTTCGACCCCACAGCGCGGCCGATGCAACTGGTCTCCAGCCTCTTGAAGAGCCATTCCTCCAATGGCCCATCTATGTCGATGGTTGCATGGCCACCATGCACTGTTAAAAACTAGTCAATCAAGAGTGGCGCTGTTTTGGAGCCTGATTCATTGCCGTGGAGGCCAATGGCAGGATCTTGTCCGGGGGTGCTGCGTGCCCTACTTTTCAATCCTTGTGTAGCTGGGCTGAGTCTCAGATCGACTTGCTCAGGGTACCGGAAACGAAGGTGTCTCCTCCACGGCTGGGTCTGCGTGGCAGAAACGGCTGAGTTGCTGGCTTTTTCTCTGTCCACTTGTTACACTTGTTGACCTCCAGCACTGTCCAGCACGAGTCATGGACGCGGACGCTCATGCTTGGGAACGCCACGGGTCGTCTGGACAGTGACGAAATCCATGGTTGAGCGATGTTGGTCGAGTCACGAAATCATGGGTGGCTAGGGACGACAATGAGGCCTCAGGCCCGACCCCGCTCTGGATAGGGACGGAAGAGCTTCTTGCTCAGCTGACGGCTGAGGAGGCATCACATATGCCGCAGCACCAGTCTTATAGCTCCACCATAGCGCCAACTGACGATGGAAGGAAGGCGTCATGCAAGGCCCCCGCTTTTTGCGGTACCCAACCGCCGCGACGCTGTTGTGCAATAAAAAGCATCCTAGTGGAACCCAGTTGCCACATGTTGCCACTATATAAAGGACTAGGGTTTCTGAAGGTCTACAAAAAGGTCCATGGCTTGGTTACCAGCGGCATCCTGCATTGATCCGACCCGGCATGGTTTGGAAGACTGTCCAGAGCCTGGCTGCACCTGGAGTCGCCTCCACAACCATTGGTTTTGCGTCGGACGTCCATGTCTCTGTTGTCCTTCTTGTCCTCTCCTGTTGCTCTCGTTGTGTGTTTTCTGGGTCTTAGTCTAATAGACCTTGTGTCCACACCTGTCCATGCTTTGTCGTCTCGTCTTTGCGTGCGGTTGTCCTCCTTTTCGGTTAGATTCTCACTGTCATTCCAATGCTTTCTTGTGTTGCTTGGAGGGTGGGGCGGCCAAAGCACCGATCACGAAAACAACAGTATTTGGCATGCACGAGAACAACAGTTGCTGATGAAATCTGAGGAAACTGTTGGGGTAGAGGCTTGTATAGTATTGGAGTGGCTCAGTGGGATGGATGTGCAAAACCATAGTCGACGGCATTTGTGCCTCCGCTGCGGATGCTGGAGCTTTTTGTGAGATCAGGTGGATGTTCAAACACCTGGACCTGGTCCTGACGTAACCCGAAAGGATCCATGACTTTAGATATAGCATGCCGGCTCGTCTCCATTGGGAAGGCTAACAACCAGTTTTACCTTGAATCGGCTGTGCTGGGCTTCGATGCACCAACTAGGTTGATTGAAACTCGTTCAGGACATGGAAATCGAGGAAGTATCCGCCAAAGTAGGGTTCCCATGTCCAAAGGCCAATGTCCCAATGACTCACTACTCTTAAGGCTATCTCACGCCAATAATGGAAGAATGCAATCTAGACGCCAAACAAAGCTAGTTTATGAACACACTTTAGGTTGGAGGCCATTGTTAGACCCTAGGTTGAAGGCCATTGCTATTAGATTGGAGGCCATTGAAGTTAGATTTCATTTGAGCATGACATCAACATTTGAGAGCAAAACCGACCAGACTTTGCCTCAAAGTCAGTCGACCGTCAGTCACATCCACAGTCGCCAATGGCACCTGGGATGAAGGCAAACATGTGGTACCGCTCGGTGCTTCGCTCAGCCCATTCGAACAGGTTGGACTATGAGGGGTGTCGAAAAGAGGGTTCGGGATGCGACGTTGGACGTCTCTCAGTCTCCGAAAAGAAAGACCGTGCAAAAGGCAAAATCAACAAAGCAATGTTATGATGCAGGGTGAAACAAGAGTGTCTTGTTCTCCGCCAAGGCTCCTCGTCAGCCTCTAGTTGCATCAAGTTGCATCGACAAACAAAAGTCTCTTGGAACATTTAGTGACTTCAGTGTAGTGACCACGTGACCACGGACTTTTGGGAGGTGTTGCGCTAGGTCAGATGACTCCTCTTCGATTCCTGTCAAGTCACCTTGGCACATGGGTGGCCTTCAATGACGCTGTTGTTGAAGATTTTGGGCCCTCCCTGCAACTGGAAGTGCCCAGTCCTGGAGAAACCAGGTACAGTCCTTTGACGCAGTGAATGTGAACGCAACGACGTATATTTCCGAGTTCAAGAAGCTGTAAGACGCCCTGGCCCAGTCAAACACTAAAGAACCGTCTCCGGGTCTCCGAAGTTCTGCCGTCTTCACAAGCAGTTCTTTCCAAAGGAGCTGTCTTCGTCAGATCAAAACGAACGGCATGATAAGTATGATACCTCTGCTATCAACTCTTCATCTATTTTGTTCATTTTGCTCCCGCTCCACCCTTGTCCTGCACTGGCGGCATGCTGTTCCGTACGTATCCACATGTCCTGCACGGCACAAAAACAAACCAGCCATGGCAGGACTGAGAATAACTCGGAACCACTGCACTAGGATCCCTAAAATTCTAAGAACCAAATCATTAGTATAAGGGCGGTCTAAAAAAAGGGCTGAGAACAACTCAGAACCTGAACCCTAAAATTCCACCACTCCGGCAAAGTGGTGAGTTCCACCAGCACCTCCTCTGGGATTCCCAAACCAATCGGGAAGGGTCAAGTCGCTGCCTTCAAGGCCGTTGTCGCACTCCAAATACTTCACCGTCCTGGCCAAAACGAGCACCTCACTGGAAAGTATGTGTTTTTATAGTTGAAACCATTCATTGCAAGGCATGAACTGCGTGGTTTGTGCAAAAACCTTCCATCATGATCCTTGAACTCGCGTTCTACGATAAAACATGAACTCTGTTTAAAGAGATTGAGATGACACAATGCCGCCACAGGCAGTGCTAATCAGTGTTGCCAAACATTTACCGCAGGATTCCCACCAATTGCATTGCCAGAGCGACCAACCATAGCGATAACCAGCCATGTATGATTAAACACGCACACACATGCACACATTGAACCAATAAGGCGCAACGAGGACAATGATGGACAAAGTAGGGTATAGCCGGTATAGCAATTCACAAAAAAGAATGACGTGGCAACAGAACACATTGGTTGAACACCAACAAGAAGTCATATCAAAGGGACATCACAGCAACTAACACGCCCTGAAATCCTCCCTTTGCAACTAGTGTTGCGCCTGTTCGGAGCAAGGAAGGCAGCCCCATTGCCTGTCCACAGGCTTGCAAAACAAGAATTCAAATCACACACACGCAGCCACCACAAGTGTTTATTGGCGAGGGTAAAGGTTGACCAGGGCAGAACAAGATCGCCTTTAATTTTGCTGGAAGAGGGATGAACACTGCCAGCGTACGTGTACCCATCAAGGTGTATTCACATACTTTGGAAATCAGGTCAGTTCCCATTGCCATACGCACACAACCTTTCTGGTGCCCTGTGGTCACCTGTCGACAGTATGTCCGGAACTGTAGACCACATGTCCTCTGCTATGTGCTGAATTTCCTAGGGCTCGCTGATATTGCAACACTCTTGAATATCATATCGTCAATGTGTGGTGCTACTTACAGCATTTTGGGCACCCCTTGTCCACATTTCGCTCGTACTGTCGGCACTTTGAACAGCATGTCGTCCACTTGCGCTAACGTTTGCTGCGGCTGCGTCCTTTGGGCAGCGTTGAACTTCTCCCGGTATTTATAGCACTGCATGCTCTTGGGCTGCTGGCCTGGGTTGCTCCCACTTGGCTATAGTTGGTCTGGGCAAGTGAAAATTGATTCAGTAAGTCGTCTTTGGTTGCTTTTTGTTGCTTGCTGGCTTGCTTCCTTGCCTGCTTTCTTTGTTCTACTTTGTATCACTTATATAAGTTTTCTTGCTTCCTTGTGCGGTTTGCTCCCACTTAGCTCAGCTCACTCATCCTTAGCGCGGTTCATGGTTTGCTTAGATTTGGGGCGCTTGCTTACTAGAACTTTGCTTTGGCTAATCTAAATTGGCTTAGCTTGGTAGAAGCTGATTACTCCTGATCCAGTAGTAGGTCGGGTTTACTTGTACCTTCCTTGCTTCCTTGGTTGATTCCATTCTTGTTTACTTCCTCTTGCTTATATATCTGCTTCCTTGCTTCCTTGCCTATGATTGGCAAACACGCGAAGCAAGCAACACAATGCAGGAGGCAAAAACAAAAGGCAAACAAACGAAAGCTTAAGCAGAAAGCAACAGCACAAGGACAAACAAACATAGGAGCCGAAAAGCAAACAATAAACACAAGCGAAATGG